TGTTTATTTATTTTAACACAGACAATTGATGTGCATTCTCAATTTTATTTGAACATTTATTTGTATACATCTTAAATTGTTTGAATTCACATGTGAAATTAGGTTTTCTTTTAAAACTGGGTTTGTTTATTGTTTGCGTAAAGAGAAGATGCTTATTTGTTGTTTATTTATTTCTGGTAAATGGAAGACATCCCATAATTCATTGTAATTATTTAAAAGTAAGCTCACACTTTTTTTTGATGGTTTGTTTGTTGAGTGTAAGTTACATTGCATCTACATGTCAACTAATTCTCATTAGATTATAAGTAGACTGTTAGGTTTGGTTTAGGGTTAGTGTAAGTTGACGTGTACTTGCAAAGTTTCTTATAGTCAGTTAAATGTCTGTAGATATTATAATGTCAGCAGATATTAAGCGGAGTGCCTACTAATAATCAAATGGATCATCAAAATAAAGTGTTTCCAAAAAAAGGCAACTTTCAGGCTTAACAAAAAATGTTTCATATTAAAATACTCTCTGAACATAATAGTTTTCACTTGGTAATGACAAAAAAAAATGAAGATCAGGACTATTATTTGCTGCTGAATCATAAAAAATAAACATAATATGCACATTTTTTTTTGTACTTTTATTTCCATCTTCTCTCCCGAGCTTGATCAATCGCATTAATTGCAGCGGATGCATGTGTGTGTGTGCGTGTCTGTTTCAGATCAATAGTGTTTCAGAAACAGACATGTTGGTCGAGCTGCTGAACCTCATACATCTTTAGTCTTGTCAATCAAGTATTGATTTGGTCGTCAATACTAGCTCTAAAGAACCAAAGACCTACCGTGTTCCTTTTAAACCGACAACAAATAAATATTCAGCAAGCAGCCTAAAATAAACGAGCATGTTATACAAGGAAATATCAAAACATTCATTCATTCTTTTTCTTGTCGGCTTAGTCCCTTTATTAATCCGGGGTCGCCACAGCGGAATGAACCGCCAACCTACCCAGCACGTTTTTACCCAGCGGATGCCCTTCCAACCGCAACCCATCTATAGGAAACATCCACACACACATTCACACACACACTCATACACTGAATGGACAATTTAGCCTACCCAATTCACCTGTACCGCATGTGTTTGGACTGTGGGGTAAAATGGAGCACCCGGAGGAAACCCACACGAACGCAGGGAGAACATGCAAACTCCACACAGAAACGCCAACTGAGCCGAGGCTCAAACCAGCGACCTTCTTGCTGTGAGGCAGCAGCACTATACTGCGCCACTGTTTCGCCCATCCAAAGACTTGTAAACCTTAAACTTCCCTCTTGTAAAGTCACTTGGATTTTCCAGCAGGTTTTGAGCGCATCACAGAGCGCCTTAAAATTTGAGTTATTTTAAAGCATACGACAGATGCAGATCACATCAAAACACAACAGAAGGCTTTGCAGGAGATGTGGAAGAATCTAGTGCTCCACACAGGAGATGTTTGAGGACAAAAATCCTGACAAATAAACTCTCAAATACAACATCTGAACAGTGGGAATCATATTATAAGAAGAATCATGGCCATTTAATTATTCCAAAAGAGGATTTCCAGCTGGCTTTTGGACATTTTCGATTGTTTCAGGTTTATTTTTGAAAGTGTTTTATTACTTTTAAGACCTTCAGGTCAAACATAACTCATTAACACTGCACTTATTAACTCCAGTGTCATTTAACTACATAAAAAAAGATGCAATATTTGCAGTGGTGGAAAGAGTACTGAAAAATCATACTTAAAGCAGCATTACTTGCCCAAAAATGTAGTGCAAGTAGAGTAAGGCTGTACTCACACTAGGTACAGTTGCCTCGAACCGGACCAAAGCACGCTTGTCCCCCCTCCCGTCTCCACCTACGGCCCGCGCTCACACCACAAACGGGCCTGGACACGCTTACGTCATCGCTGCTGCGCTGTTCAGTGAGAAGCGCTCTCTCACTCAGCAGCACAGTGGAGATTTCTCTAGTTATATCGTGTCAGTGGTTTGATATGCAGTGACATGCAGTCAAATATTTCACCAAACAGTCCTTAGGGATGCGGGGACACGCAGTCAGATATTTCGCCGAACAGATCCGCCACTTTTAGCGCTCATAAACAATCATAAAGCCCTCGTGCTGCAGGAATGAGGAGGTCTGCTGAAGGTGCAGCTGTGGTGCAGTGAGGGGTTCTCGTCTTTAATAATCTACGGCAGTTTGCGTTCACTGAAAAGTAAGAATGATTAATAAATCCATATGAAACAGCCCCTTAAAACTCACGTCTCGCTTTCTCGCTCTCACACACAAGCGTACCGCGCCAAAGCCCAAGTGAACCGCGCTTAGGCACACCTCTTCCAACCGGGCCAGGGCCGGCCAAGTGAACCGTGCTTGAGCCCGATTCAGCGCACTCACACTTCTCAAACGATCCGGGAAACGGGCCTGGGCACGGTACGGATAGCATAGTGTGAGTAGGCCCTAAAAGTGTCTGCTGTAAATTTTACTCAAACTATGAGTAAAAAGTAGCCCTTTCAAAAGTACTCATGAGTAGTTATGCTGTATAAAGCTGATGTTTACATGTAATTTCTGCATGTGTGTGAAACGTAACATTCTGTAGTGCATAGTTAGTTATTGCCCAGCAGGCACACAACGTCATAAGACGTTAATCATTCATTCATTCATTTTCTTGTCGGCTTAGTCCCTTTATTTATCCGGGGTCGCCACAGCGGAATGAACCCCCAACTTATCCAGCATGTTTTTACGCAGCAGATACCCTTCCAGCCGCAACCTATCTCTGGGAATCATCCACACACACATTCACACACACACTCATCCACTACGGACAATTTTAGCCTACCCAATTCACCTGTACTTCATGTCTTTGGACTGTGGGGGAATCCGGAGCACCCGGAGGAAACCCACGCGAAGGCAGCGAGAAAGACCTTAATATTAGGTTAGATTTAGGCTGTGATGTCAGGTGACCAATATTCAATGTCTAGCCAGCATCTAAGGATAACGTTATTGTGACGTCCAATAACGATGTGAAATGATGTTGTGAACGTAAACTTTTGGATCTCATTCGGCTGCCCGCCTCTCTTTTAAAACAACCAGGGGCGTAGCGCCCCTGGTTGTGTTAGAAAGTGACCAAAATCCAACGTCGAGCCAACATCTTAAACCAGCGTCATATTGACGTCAAATACTGACATTAATTTGTCAAGTATAGCAACCAAAATCCAACATCTGATTGACAACGTCAAGCTGTAAAATCATTAGACGTTGATGTTTGGTTGATTTTTACGTTGGACATTGGTGTTGGCCTGACGTTGGGTTCTGATGTCAACCAGATTTTTATTTCCAAACTAAAGGTAACGTCTCCATGACGTTGAGGTACAACGTTAATCTGACATCATGTTGACGTCTTGTGCCTGCTGTGTGTTTAGGGCCATCATACAGTAAACATCCTTCATCTTCTCATCAGTGACCTGCATCTAAACAGTCTCTGGGTCAATGCTTGTAAAGATTTTGGCATCTTCTTGGACACTTTTAATGCCTCCAAACAGTTTGCTACAATTATAGAGCTCCCATCTCTTGAGGTATACACTATGATGTGATTTACCTTCTATGTGTGATTTGATTGGATGGGAATCACAGGACTGATTATTCTAATCCCCATAGACACGAAATAATAATGTATTTAACTCAATTCAATATAGCGCTTTTACAATGTAGATTGTACATAGTTCAGTTTTTAGTGTTTAAGTTCAGTTCAGTTTAGCTTAGTTCAGTGTGCTTTAAAATCATTACTGAGAGTCCAAACACTGAAGAGCAAATTCATCGATGCGTAGCTCAACCGATCCCAAACCATGCAAGCTAGAGGCCACAGCGGAGAGGGAAAAAAAACTTCACCGAGTGAAGAAAAAAAACCTTGAGAGAACCAGACTCAGTTCGGCACGACCATTTTAATTTCTCCGCTGGCCAAAAGTCTTGTGCAGAGCTGCAGTCTCAGCGGCGAAGGCTGGAAGCTGGCCTCAGCCAAGACTCGTCTGTCCCTGGAGCGTCTCTGGAATCAGTCTCATACTCTCCACTCCTCCATGACCACCACAGCAGCTGCTCAGGATACGGCCTGGTCCAGGATATGGACACCATGGGATCATCTCGTCGCTGATCTTGGATCCAATCAGTGACTCCGCATAATCTGAGGGCCTCGGGATGAGTATCTCCAGGTGGAAATAGAAGATAAAGGGAATAATTAGCGTAGCTGCTGTTCATAGTGTATATAAGCAAGATGCAGAAGCCAGTGTGGAACCCGCTAGGTGATGCACTGAGTGTGTGCTTTACTAAACAGATAGGCCTTTAATCTAGTTTTGAACTGAGAGAGTGTGTCTGAGCCTCAGACGTTATCAGGAAGGCTATTCCAGTGTGTAGGAGCCATAAAGGAGAAGGCTCGACCTCCTTTACTAGACTTTGCTATTCTAGGTACTAGCATTCAGTGGCGTAAAAGTACCGATATCGCACTTAAAATGTCCTCAAGGGAAAGTAAAAGTACACAATTTTAAAAACTACAATTCCTGAGAAAAACTACTCAGTCACAGTCATTTGAGTATCTGTAATTTGTAAATAAGTTGAAACAATATTTGTTAATAGGCTTTCATTCTATTGTATTGTGAGTTGCATTTCAATGATATCGTATTAATAAGCTTGCTTTATCAATGATGCTTATTTATTTATTTAGAAAAACTATAATCTGAATTTTTTTAATGTTCCAAAGTCTAAAAAAGTTCTTAATTTATAATTATTTTAGTAGATGGTGTTTGGCATGTAAAGAAAATGAATGATTTTTTTGATAATAATAATTAGACCTGATGTATTGCTGATGTAAAAAATGTAATATGTATTAATTTATGTCAGACATTTTTTGTTCTTATTCAATATTTCACATTTTTAAATGATTCTTTACTCGATGTCTGGCTTTTTTGTTTGTTTCCAGCTCTTGATCTGACAGAACTGCACTTCTCTCCTCCTCCTCTGATAACCCAGAGCTGCTTCTGTACGTCACTCCTTCATTTCTCTCATCCTCCGCTCAGCGAACATCCCCTCCAGCAGCACTATGGACAGCACACTATCAGGTAAGACCCAGAATAACATCCACACACTGATTTAATGCGTGCATCTGCATCCTAAAGCATTAATGAATAGATGCACGTAATACCGTCCGTTTTGAACAGATGCCTGGTGTGCTGCTGCCGCTCCACACTGCAGATGCTGCGCTGTACAAGCACACGCAGGTTCATTTAGAGGGTGGCAGTGCAGCAAAATGTGTCGCAAGGTTGTGAAAGACATTCAGATTTGCACCTGATTAATATTTGCTTGAGTCTTAAGCATGCATTGATCATCTTTAGTCTTTCACATTGAGGGCTATTGGATGTATTCAGATGTTTTTGCTTTGTGTTTTTCATTAGTTGTAGATTTTGTATGCATTTGTTAATAGCATGCATTTTATTGTTGCTCTGTATGTCAAATCAGCATTTGTTGAGTCTTGAGCATGCACTGGTCATCTTTAGTCTTTCACAATGTGGTCAGGGCTATCGTATATATTCAGATATTTTTGCTTTGAGTTATTCATTCAGGATAATTGTAGATTTTGTATGCATTAATTAATAGCATGCATTTTATTCTGACTGTATATGTTCAATCAGGATTTGTTGAGTCTTGGGCATGCATTGATTATCAGGGCTATTGCATATTTTCTGATGCTATTGCTTTGTGGTTTTCAATAATTGTAGATATTGTATGCATTAATTAATAGCATGCATTTTATTCTAACTGTATATGTTCAATCAGGATTTGGTTTATTTGTGCTGTCTCAGCTTTCTTGCAAAGTCACCTTTCTTGGGGGGAAAATAAGCGTGCACAAGCTCCAAACTGCTGAGCTCAGATTCCCACACTGCAGAAAACACACTGGCGGTCAAAGACGAAGGGGTTTTCATGCATCATAAATATAAAAGTGTGTTTTATGACTATAATAAATGACTATAATACATCTTTGCAATGTTTTATAGAGGACAGATGTGGAAATGTCATTGAGCTTAAGAGTAGTTTCTACAGTCTAATAGAATTAAGTTCAGTGAATCATTAGAATGTGTGTATTTATGTTACTTTAACTTATTTTTGTGAGTTCATGTTTATTTTTTATTAAGTTAAGCAATGTTTTTAGTCATTTTAACCAATGAATATTGAAATGACGGATAAAGATATTTTGATTCAACTTAAAAATTGATTCAACAGCAACAAATTTATTTATTTATTTTTAATATTTGTCTTAAAATCTTGTCTGGCATATTTAGAATATTTAATGACATATTAAAATACTTGATTTAAGAATCATAGGTTGACCCCAATATAATTTATTGTAATTTAAAATCTTTATATTTTGCCACTGTCCTTCGTAACAGTAGATTTTACACATTTAATTCAACTATTTCATTTTTTTATATAAATAATTATATCACATTTTTGCAATGATTCATAGAGGACAGATGTGGAAATGTCATTGATCGTAACAGTATTGTCAACTTTCTATTAAAATTAAGTTCAGTGAGTCAATAGAATGTATGTATTTTGTTACTTTAACTTATTTTAGTGAGTTAATCTTTATTTTTTTAAGTTATGCAAATTATAACTTGATGATTTTAGTCATTTTAACTGATGTATGTTAAATTATTTCTAAAGTTAATTTGATTCAACTTAAAAATTTAAGCCAGAAACAAATGTATTTATTTATTTATTTTTAAGTTTTTGTCTTAAAATCTTGTCTGGCATATTTATAATATTTAATGATGTATTAAAAGTTTTGATTTAAGGATAACAGTTTGAGCCCAAATAAAATTAGTCATTTGAAATCTTTATATTTTGTCACGTTTATTTCACCTATTTCATTTTTTTATCAATAATTATATCACATTTTTGCAATGTTTTATAGAGGACAGATGTGGAAATGTCATTGAGCATAGGAGTAGTTTCTACATTCTAATAGAATTAAGTTCAGTGAGTCATTAGAGTGTATGTATTTATGTTACTTTAACTTATTTTTTTAGTGAGTTCATGTTTATTTTTTATTAAGTTATGCAAACTATAACAATGTTTTTGTCATTTTAGCGAATAAATTTTGACATTATGGATAAAGATAGTTTGATTCAACTTAAAAATTGAAACCGGCAACAAATTTATTTATTTATTTTTTAAGTTTTTGTCTTAAAAGCTTGTCTGACATATTTACAATATTTAATGACGTATTAAAATACTTGATTTAAGAATCATAGGTTGACCCCAAAATTATTTATTGTAATTTAAAATCTTTATATTTTGTCACTGTCCTTCATAACAGTAGTTTTACACATTCAATTCAAATATTTAATTTTTTAAAATAAATAATTATATCACATTTTTTTCAACGTTTTATAGAGGACAGATATGGAAATGTCATTGATCGTAACAGTATTTTCAACTTTCTATTAAAATTAAGTTCAGTGAGTCATTAAATGTATGTATTTATGTTACTTTAATTTATTTTAGTGAGTTAATCTTTATTGTTTAGTTATTATACCTTGATGTTTCTAGTAATTTTAACTGATGAATGTTAAATTATTCATAAAGTTGAACTGATTCAACTTAAAAATTTAAGCCACAAACAAATGTATTTATTCATTTATTTTTAAGTTTCTGTCTTAAAATCTTGTTTGGCATATTTAGAATATTTATTGACGTATTAAAATGCTTAATTTAACAATAATATACTGTCCTTCATAACACTAGATTTTACACTTTTAATTCAACTATTTAATTTTTTTAGATATATGTATAAAAAAATATATTACATTTTTGCAATGATTCATAGAGGACAGATGTGGAAATGTCATTGATCGTAACAGTATTGTCAACTTTCTATTAAAATTAAGTTCAGTGAGTCATTAGAACTTTTGTATTTATGTTACTTTAACTTATTTTAGTGAGTTAATCTTTATTTTTTAAGTTATGCAAATTATAACTTGATGTTTCTAGTCATTTTAACTGATGTATGTTAAATTATTTATAAAGTTATTTTGATTCAACTTTAAAATTTGAAATGTATTTATTTATTTATTTTTAAGTTTTTGTCTTAAAATCTTGTCTGGCATATTTATAATAATTAATGATGTATTAAAATTTTTGATTTAAGGATCACAGTTTGAGCCCAAATTAAATTAAAGTCATTTGAAATCTTTGTATTTTGTTACGTTTTTTTTCACCTATCTAATTTTTTAATAAATAATTATATCACATTTTTGCAATGTGATATAATTTTTTTCAAATGTTTATAAAAATGATATAATTGTTTTCAAACATTTATAAATGTTTTCAACTTAAAAATTTAAACCAACAACAAATTTATTTATTTATTTAAAAAAATTTTGTCTTAAAAGCTTGTCTGACATATTTACAATATTTAATGACGTATTAAAATACTTGATTTAAGAATCACAGTTTGACCCCAAAATAATTTATTGTCATTTGAAATCTTTGTATTTTGCCACTGTCCTTCAAAAAACTAGATTTTACACATTTAATTCACTTATTTAATTTTTTTTATAATTATATCACATTTTTGCAATGCTTTATAGAGGACAGATGTGGAAATGTCATTGATCGTAACAGTATTTTCAACTTTTTATTAAAATTAAGTTCAGTGAGTCATTAAATGTATGTTTTTATGTTACTTTAACTTATTTTAGTGAGTTCATGTTTTTTTTTAAGCTATGCTAATTATACCTTGATGTTTCTAGTCATTTTAACTGATGTATGTTAAATTATTTATAAAGTTAATTTGATTCAACTTAAAAATTTAAGGCAGAAACAAATTTATTTATTTATTAGGTTTTTCGCATCTAAGCTCTTCTTATTTTAATAAGTTCAGCTCAGATTAAATGCAACGCTTCATTTTCAGCTAAATGGATGCTTTGCTTAACATTAATTCATTTTATTTTCACTAAAGTAGTTAGTAACATTTGGTGCTCTCATTGAATATGCTTTTATGTGTTTATAAACGTACTTTATTAAATTAGATGAGATGTGAACCGAGTGATGCAGAAGCTCAGAGAGTGAGTAATTTTGCTGACATGAGCTGTGACGCCCAGATCAATAATGCATGAATCAGGTCAGTTTTAAAGCCTGGCTGCATGCTTGTGTTCATGCGTTTGCTTCACTGTTATATCAGGAACTTACATGAGTCTGATTTTGTAAAATATTACCATAATGCAGACTCTCTACAGTCCTGATTTACTGATTACAACAACAAAAATTTCCTTGATAAAATTGTATTGAAATACAACAACACATCATTATGCAATATATATATGCAATATGCAATAAATATATATATATATATATATATATATATATATATATATATATATATATATTTTTTTTTTTTTTTTTTTTTTTTTTTTTTTTAATTCTTCTTATTTTTTTTCTAGGGAAATTATTATTTCTTTACTTCTTTTCCTCTAGTTTGGCTGGAATAGAAAGATAAAACATACATACATACATACATACACACACACACACACACACACACACACACACACACACACACACACACACACAAACATATATATATATATATATACAGTTAAAGTCAAAATTATTAGCCCCCTTGACTTATTAGCGCCCCTATTTATTTTTTCCCCAAATTTCTGTTTAATGGAGGGAATATTGTTTCATTTTTAAGCATAATAGTTTTAGAAACCTATTTCTAATAACTGATTTATTTTATCTTTGTCATGATGACAGTAAATAATATTTTACTGTTTAATGATGGTTTGTTCTGTAAACTATCGGAAAAAAATGTGCTTAAAGGGGCTAATAGTTTTGACCTTAAAATGGTGTTTAAAAAATTGAAAACTGCTTTTATTCTTGCCAAAATAAAACAAATAAGACTTTCTCCAGAAGAAAAAATATTATCAGACATACTGTGAAAATGTCCTTGCTCTGTTAAACATCATTTGGGAAATATTTAAAAAACGAAAAAAAAAAAAAAATGACAAGGGGGCGAATAATTCTGACTTCAACTGTACATAAAACAAACCTGCAGAATTGTTGTCCAATACCTAATAACCAAGTTAAGCCTTTAAATTGCACTTTTAGCTGAATATTAGTATATTGCTAAATATTATATACTATCATCATAGCAAAAACTAAAGGAATTGGTAGTATTATTAGAATTACGAGTATTATTATTAATAAAAATGATTATTTCAATTATACATTTTGAAAATGTGTTAGTTAATCTCTCTATTGAACAGCACTCAGGAACATTGGAAAAATAATTAAAATTTCACAAAAGGGTCCAACATTCTGTCCAGTTGTCGCTGAACTTAATAATCGTTTTTAATTCAGTTTACTAATTAAAATAATTCAGGCACAAGTCAGTCTTTCTGCATCAAAATGTCGTTTAACTCAATGTATTATCAGTCATTTCCTACAGTAGTAATTATTTACTTGCAATTATTCTACATTTCTATTTTTAACATTTCTGGAGTTTTAACTTGTGCCTCGATTTATAGGCATAATCTTTCTGCATGATTTACTGCTTCAGATCCACACGCATTGATTAAACATGTTTATCAAATAAATGCTGTTTTTTTTTTCAGCATACTCTGACAAGCTGAGAGAGATGTCGGTGTTGTCTCTCATCTGCTCCTGTCTGTATAATCAGCCGCATCCCAACACCTTCGGCCAGTTTGAAGGTAAGAGCTTAAACAACGACTGAATGTGACCGTATGCACGATTACTGTGGATCCATCAGCCCTTTAGTCATGTTAAGCATCCCAAAGAAGATTTCCAGCTGGCTTTGGAGTTTTTTGTCCATTTCAGTTTTGTTTTTGTGTTCCTTTCAAGACCTTCTAGACAAAAATGTCCTCATCGAAAGCCATTAAGAGTTACTCCAATGCTTTAGTTTACTAAAAAATATGCAATGTTTGTTCATAGGCTTTCATTCTATTGTATTGTGTTGTTTATAGTGTTTATATTGCATTGTGTTTTTCCTTTATTGATCAATTGTAGTTATTTATTAATTTTTATCAGTTATGTGTCTGAAAAGTAAAAAGAATGTTTGGTAATGGGCTGTTTTCAATGTCAAATAATGTCAATTCCATTGAAAATACTGAGGTAAAATTAAAACCATATTTTAAAGACATGGCGCAGAAAAATATTATTTAATGCAGCGCTTCTTGTTTGGTCTGATACCCACTTTATATCGTATCCCAGCCAGGCAGTGAAGAACTCTGCTTTTTAAAAGAAATTAGATCTTAAACGAGGTTATTTCGTATGGGATGACAATAGGGTATATGTAGAGCTAATGTTTTTCCCATATACACTTCCGGTGAGCTGTTATTGTGAGTTTTTTTCCATTTTATACGGTTCATTTTACAGCATCGATGTTGTAATGTCATTAAAATACATTCAGTTAAATTAACTTTGACATTTATTTAGTTGCTCAAGCGTAAAACGAGACAAAAGCTGATTCAAAATGCAGCTGCTAGGCTTTTAACTGGGACAAAAAAAATGTCCAGTATCCCACCAGTTTTATCATCTCTTCACTGGCTCCCAGTCTAATTTAGGATTCAATATAAGTTATTGCTACTTGTTTTTAATAGTTTGAATGGTCTGGCACCTATTTGCATCTCTGAGCTTCTTCACTGGCACACTTCATTGAAGCCAATCGGGTCGGAAAGCATTTCAGCTAGTTGTCCCCAAAACACAGTTGAAATCAAGAGACGACGGGGCTTTTTCTGCTGCTGCCCCAGACTGTGGAATGGTCTGCCTTTACATATCAGGTCATGTTCTTCACTTGGTGACTTGGTCTCATCTAAAAAATCACCTTCTGTCTCTTGCCTTTTAATTGCAATTAATTCATTTTAATCTGTTTTATATATTTTGCTTATTTTTATATATATAGGTATAGATTTTGCATGCTGGTCAACATCTGTTGTTTTTAAATGTACTCTATAAATAAAGCAAAAAAACAAGCAAAAAGCCGTTTACTCGCACTGTACCGTTGGCAGGCTAGCGCAGAAGCTCCATTGAATATACTGGGGTAAAGTAAATGCTCATATTATAAAGATATGGCGGGGGAAGTGTAATTTAATGCAGTGCTTCTTGTACAATCTGAGACCCACTTTATATCAGATATCACTCAGCCAGTGGAGATCGCTGATTTTTTTTAAAAACAGCCCTTAAACGTGCTGGTTTTTGCATTGCCATAAAGTTCGCCGGAAGTGCTTAACCCAGCTTACTGACAAATTAAAAGTCCTATTAGCATGCTTCAACATATACCCTATTAACCTGTAACCCTGGGGCTGTCTGACTGAAATTGAAAGTCTGTGTGCATATACCCCATTATGATAAAAGAAATGGTGGAAAAAAATCTATGTCAGTTAAAGCAGAACATTTTTTTGATATGATATTGAATGGCAGACATTTTTGTCCATTTTGGACATGAGTGGGAGTGTTTTTTTTTCCAACACTACATAAAATATATGAATGCCTCAAAATGAAAGGTGTTGTTTATCACTGACACATCCAAAACTGTAATTAACAAAGAAAATGAATCTGCTTTGCATGTAGTGTATGGAAAATAACTCTTCATATAAAAATCACCTGTGCCATTTTATAAACAAACCACCAGTTAAAGGGTTAAAATTCTGAATGTTTGGTAATTGTGTCTAGAAATGATGCTGGTGAAAAACATCTATGATAGTTTAGGCAAGGCAAGTTTATTTATAAAGCACATTTCATACACAGTGGCAATTCAAAGTGCTTTACATAAACAGGAATAAAAAAGACAAGTTTAGGAACATAAAATGCAGATAATAAAAATTATTAAAAACAGATAAAAACAAATTAAAATGAGTTTAAAATAGGTTATAAAAGAATGAAAAAGAAAACGAAAAACATAATAGTGCGATCTGTCGGACGCAGCAGTGCTCATTCAGTAAAGGCACAGCTAAACAGATGTGTTTTCAGTCTTGATTTAATGCAAGAAAAGTTAATATGTGATATTTTTATGATGTTTTTTTTTCAACTTTTAGCCTGAGAGGATTGTTTTGTAATTGTTAAGAATATTTCATATTTATATCATTTCTTATGCTTTCCCAGAGATGGGTTGCGGCTGGAAGGGCATCCGCTGCGTAAAAATGTGCTGAATAAGTTGGCGGTTCATTCCGTTGTGGCGACCCCGGAATAATAATAGGACTAAGCCGACAAGAAAATGAATGAATGAATCATTTTTTATGCATGGTCAAAGACTACAAACCACACAAGACGTGTCACTCATATAGTTTTGAATGATATAAAGTGAAACAGTGAATATGGCCAATGAAGACCCGCCTTCTAATAAAAGAGCCAATCATCGATCACTATAGACTGAGGATTCTCTGGGGGAGGGGCTCGGAAGAGAGTGTCTGCAGATTTTGTTTGATTTAAACGTTTAAAGATGAAACTAAAGAGACTTTTGTTATTTAATTTTATTGGTGATTTGTAATATGAAATCCAGTTGAAACCAGAAGTTGACAGGCTGTATGAAAAGGCACATGAGCATTTAAAAAAAGTCGGATGTTAATGTGACTAAACTTGTTCTCTCCTTAGGTAAGTTAGGATGATCACATGTGTTTCTGTTCTTCTTAATAGCAGAATAATGAGAGAGATATTTGTTGAGAAATTGTTATAACTCTTCTTGAAGGTCAAGTTTACACACAGTAAGATTATTCTGCCTCTGGAAAAGCTCAGATGATGATGTCAAGCTTTTGGAAGTTTCTGATTGGCTAATTGACAACATTTGAGTTAATGTGAGGCACAACTGTAGAATAGTGTTGAAGGAAAAGCTCAAACACACTGCTTCCTTGTGTGACAACATGAGAAAATCAACAAGCCAGAATCAACAACAAAGCCAGATTAGCATTAGCTGAATTACACTGGGGAAAGACTCATGTTTGGAGACATGTCCTGTGCTCTGATGGAGCTGAGATTGAACTGTTTGGCCATAATGAGCAGTGTTACATTTGGAGGACAAAGGGGAAAGCGCACAAGCCTAGAACACCATCCCAACTGTGCAGTATGGGGCGGCAGCATCATGTTGTGGGGCTGTTTTGCTGCAGGAGGGACTGGTCCACTTCACAGCATAGATGGCATCATGAAGACAGAACATTATGGAGAAATACTGAAGCAACATCTCAAGACATCAGCCAGGACATTACAACTTGGCAACAAATGGCTCTTCCAAACACACCATGACCCTAAACACACTGCCAAATGAGTTCAAATGTGCTTTAAGGACAACAGAGTGAATGTTTTGGAGTGGCCATCACAAAGCCCTGATCTCAATCCTATAGAAAATTTGTGGGCAGATTTGAAAAAGCTTGTGCGAGCAAGACAGCCAACAAATCAGACTCAGTTACAGCAATCCTGTCAGGAGGAATGGGCCAAAATTCCTGCTAACTATTGTGAGAACCTTCCCAAAACATTTGACCCAAGTTAAACAGTTTAAAACCAAAGCTAAACAAATACCAAGGAAATGTGTGTAAACTTTTGACTCTCTAGAAATTAATAAAGAATTCTCTCATTATTCTGGCATTGAGCAAATGTAAATCATTTAGGCAATCCTAACAGACCTAAAATAATAAAGGTAGACATCTTTAAAAAATGGTTATGTTCCTTTTTTTAGACTGTATGTAAACTTCTGGTTTCCGCTGTATATCTTATGCTTGGCAAACAGCTTTGGAGGATTTGATGTGTCCCCATTCAAACAGAATGTCTGAGCACTGCCTCCAAAGTTGGCCACTAAGTGAAATGACTTGCCTTAACTTTGATATGGTCAATTATTTTCATTTGTACGTGACATTCACTGTCCTCGTCATGCACAGATATGGAGGTGAAGTCTCTGAATAAGCGAGCGTCCGGCCAGGCGTTTGAGGTCATCTTGAAGAGTCCGACTGACCCGTCTCCAGAAAGACCCCAGACACTGGCACTGCCACCCCAGAGGAAGGAGCCCTCGCTGGGGGAGCTGCAGAGGAGGCTGGAGGCCGCAGAGGCCAGGCGCAGGGTAACTTCAGCATCACAGTATCACTATTCCCTCTAAGACCTGTCTTGAGCATCTGTCTGCGCTCCCAAAGAGCATCTCACGCTTCCAAAAGCTGCCACATTACGTTCTGTCTTCATCTTCTGAGGCGCAACTCATTTAATAGAGAAGAAAAAACACCACAGTGGCAAATCTCAATGCACTATACATTTACATTTATATTTACATTGTCATTTAGCAGACGCTTTTATCCAAAGCGGCTTACAAATGAGGACAAGGAAGCAATTTACACAACTATAAGAGCAACAATAAATAAGTGCTGTAGGCAAGTTTCAGGTGTGGAAAGTCTAAGAAGCAAAACATTAGTAATTTTTTTTTGTAGTTAGTGAAGTCAGAGAGGCAATTGCAGATTAGGAAGGGAAGTGGAGACTAAATAGTTGAGTTTTAAGTGGTTTCTTGAAGACAGCGAGTGACTCTGCCGTTCTGATGCAGTTAGGGAGTTCATTCCACCAACTGGGCAGATTGAATGCGAGAGTTCGGGAAAGTGATTTCTTCCCTCTTTGGGATGGAACCACGAGGCGACGTTCTTTCACAGAACGCAAGTTTCTGGAGGGCACATACATCTGCAGAAGTGAGAGCAGATAAGAAGGAGCAAAGCCAGAAGTCGCTTTGTAGGCAAACATCAAAGCTTTGAATTTGATGCGAGCAGCAACTGGCAGCCAGTGCAAACGGATGAGCAGCGGAGTGACATGTGCTCTTTAGGTTCATTAAAGACCACTCGTGCTGCTGCGTTCTGGAGCAGCTGAAGAGGTTTGATAGAGTTAGCTGGAAGCCCGGCTAGTAGAGAGTTGCAGTAATCCAGTCTGGAGAGAACAAGAGCTTGAACAAGGAGTTGAGCGGCATGTTCAGATAAGAAGGGTCGGATCTTTCTGATGTTATAGAGTGCGAATCTGCACGATCGAGCAGTTCTAGAGATGTGGTCAGAGAAGTTTAGTTGGTCATCAATCGATACTCCAAGCCTTTTCACCATTTTGGATGCAGTAATGGTTGCCCCATCCATCTGGATTGAAAATTCATTTGCGTTTTTGTGAGGTTAAGCTGAATGAATTAATCCCTGCTTGATATTTGCTCCAGTTTATCAGGAAGTGATGATTCTGTTCTCTTCTGTTTCTCTTTTGTATTGGAAACACTGCTTGTGCATGTGTTTATGGTAAGTGTATTTGATCTCTTTGTTCAGTCCCAGGAGAAGCAGGTCCTGAAGCAGCTGGCGGAGAAGCGCGAGCGGGAGAAAGAGGTGCTCACTAAAGCTCAGGAGGTCAACAACAACTACAGCAAGAAGACGGAGGAGAAACTCAACCATAAAATGGAGATGATCACAGAAAACCGCATGGCCCGTCTCAATGCTCTCAAGCAGCGTCTGAGAGAGAAGGTGAGGATTTCTGCTTGTCTTTGTCTTTGTGAAGAAGTTGATCCACTTAGTTAAACTCCTCTTCATCCATTTCACATTTGGTAGAAGCATTTATCTAAAGTAACTTGCATTGCATTTAAGGTACATTTAGGTAAATAAGTATTGAACACCATACTACTCAGAAAACGTACTTTCTAAAGGTGCTGCTGATTATAAATTTTCCATGGATGTTGGTAACTACAAAATAAATCCATATATGCATAGGAAACAAATCTAATTAGTTTACAAATGAAGTTCTGAGTAATAAAATGAAATGACTCAGGGGAAAAGTATTAAACACATGAAGAAAGGAAGGTGTAGAAAGACATGGAAAGCCCAGACAGCAGCTGAAATCTCTCAGTAGTTCTTCAGCAAGCCTCTGCCCTTCCTCAGTGTAAATGAATATCAGCTGCTTCAGTCCAACATCTACATTAGCAGGAGGATGAAGATCAATTCAGGGTGGACATTTCAGCAAGACAATGATCCAAAACAGCCAAGGAGACTCTCAGATGCTTTCAGAGAAAGAAAATCAAGCTGTAGAATGGCCCAGCCAATCACCTGACCCTAATCCAATAGAGAATACAGAATAAAGCTCAGATCTGATAGACCAGACCCACAGAACCATCAAGATTTAGACACTCTGACACCTGAGCAATGCATGTGACTTCATTCTCCATATGAGAGGTGTCTTTAAGCTGCCACCATTAACAAAACATTTTATACACTACCAAAATCTATTAAAAAAATAATAAAAATTTGACTGTTTGTTTTCTTAGAATCCGCTTGTTAAGTGGTGACGTGTTAGTGACGTATGTAAAACTGTTTCCGGGTCCAAGCCGCCACTCATTTGAATTGACAAAATACTCGTTTATGACCACTTTTTATTCATATCAGACATTTTCAAGAGTTCACACTTAGCTGAGGATTGATAATAAAGCTTGTTTGGCATTCTGTCCGGGCAGAGAGCCCTGAGCTTATAAGATCCTCGAGCCCTGGGCTTCCTCCCGTTGCAGGGCAAGAAAGGAGTTTGAGCTCAGGTAGATCTCGATGACTCTCCCTCCTGCTTATTGTAGCTAAGTGTTAGGTATGGATGCTGAGAAGGTGTACTCAGAGTTTGGCTAAAAATATTTCGGATTAATTTTTTAGGCTGCTTGTTTTTGAACTTTGGGAGGAAACCGGAGGACTCGGGGAAAACCTACGCGAGCACGGGGAGAACAAGCAAAACTCTGCACAGAAATGTCGCCTGGTTTGGAAAGGAATTAAACCAGGGGCATTCTTGCTGTGAGGCAACAGCGCTAATCACTGGCCACCGTGTCGCCCGTTTGAAAGGAGGGATATTCAAGACGAAGATATTGAGATGAGAAAGTCTGGTTATTTAAAGTGAGTTAAGAATCGTCTGATAGGATAATTAGTCAAGAGCTAGAGGTGGAACAGCTGTGAACAATCATAAGCATGTGATCCTCTCGAAATTTGTTTATAAATAAACTTCACAAAGTAAATTTTATATTAAGTCATATGGTGCATCCCAGTTTGCATACTTATACTACACCCTAAAAGTATGTACATTTTTGTGAAGGACAAATTTAAACTTTAGAGTGTGCAACAGAAGAGTATGCAAGCTTAGGGACGTACTACCTCCTCTTTAAAAGATCGTTATGTTGCTTAGTTATGCCCTCTTTCAATCATCCACACATCATCCACATTTCTGTCATATTTAACTTCCTACCTTACTAGAGAAGCATCAGCAGCAGGTAATCTCCCATTCTTGAGTCTTTCATGCACAGAAATCTCCTCAGGCCTTTGGGTAATTCTGCTATCAGACGTCTTGACGTCCAAACGCGTCTTTATATAAGTTCAGTGTTGTTGTTGCAGATAAAATATATAATGTGACTTAAATATTTTCCAGTGGGCTGGATATTGACGAACAGCCATTCAAACATCTTTACCGAAGCCTCTCTACTTGACGGCTGGTCTCGCGCGTCCATCATGTTTGTAGTTTATTTACACTTTGCACACGCGATTGTAGTTCTAATCGAATTTGCGTCCAATGTGCAATGTATTGTGGGCAATATCAGTAGTTAGAGTATGGACGCTTCTACACTTACATTTTTTTTTTTTACCAGAAATAGCAAACCATCCGGGAACCTCTGGCATACTCCTTTCAACATATTATGCTTTGGGAAACACTAATTCTATTTTCAAATACGTTTTAGGATGGATAATAGTACGCAGGAATAGTGTACACAGCAATCTCTGGGCTTGCTGCATCACAAATACCAAAATTTTAACAATTTATAAAAAAATTATCACTTTCTGGCCATCGGATAATGAGCATAGATATATAGTGATCGTAATTTTGGAAAGTATTACATCGCTTTGTAAACGTTTATTGTTAGCATTTGATGAGTCTCCCCATTCAGTTTCATAGAGCGCCTGGACTCGGATGCCCCTTCGCGTGAAATTTTTTTAAGGTACTTTATGATATGAACGTCCAACAGTGGATCTAACATAAACATTTCTAACGTAGAACTTTACAGCAGAAGGCGCTCTAGGCTAGTTTTAACAGCAGATGGCATTCTAGGCTAATTTTAACAGCAGAGGGTGCTCTAGGCTAGTTTTAACAGCAGACGGCATTCTAGGCTAATTTTAACAGCAGACGGCGCTCTAGGCTAGTTTTAACAGCAGAGGGTGCTCTAGGCTAGTTTTAACAGCAGAGGGTGCTCTAGGCTAGTTTTAACAGCAGAGGGTGCTCTAGGCTAGTTTTAACAGCAGAGGGTGCTCTAGGCTAGTTTTAACAGCAGAGGGTGCTCTAGGCTAGTTTTAACAGCAGACGGCGCTCTAGGCTAGTTTTAACAGCAGAGGGTGCTCTAGGCTAGTTTTAACAGCAGACGGCATTCTAGGCTAGTTTTAAAAGCAGACGGCATTCTAGGCTAGTTTTAACAGCAGACGGCACTCTAGGCTAGTTTTAAAAGCAGAGGGAGCTCTAGGCTAGTTTTAACAGCAGAGGGTGCTCTAGGCTTATTTTAACAGCAGACCGCGCTCTAGGCTAGTTTTAACAGCAGAGGGTGCTCTAGGCTAGTTTTAACAGCAGAGGGTGCTCTAGACTAGTTTTAACAGCAGAGGGTGCTCTAGGCTAGTTTTAACAGCAGAGGGTGTTCTAGACTAGTTTTAACAGCAGAGGGTGCTCTAGGCTAGTTTTAACAGCAGAGGGTGTTCTAGACTAGTTTTAACAGCAGAGGGTGCTCTAGGCTAGTTTTAACAGCAGAGGGTGCTCTAGACTAGTTTTAACAGCAGAGTGCGCTCTAGGCTCACTTTAACAGCAGACTGTGCTCTAAGCTAGTTTTAACAGCAGATGGCATTTTAGGCTAGTTTTAGCAGTAGATGGCGCTCTAGGCTAGTTTTAAAAGTTTTAACAGCAAAGGGTGCTCTAGACTAGTTTTAACAGCAGAGGGTGCTCTAGGCTAGTTTTAACAGCAGAGGGTGCTCTAGACTAGTTTTAACAGCAGACGGCGCTCTAGGCTAGTTTTAACAGCAGAGGGAGCATTTGATGAGTCTCTCCATTCAGTTTCATAGAGTGGCTGGACTCGGAAGCCCCTTCGCGTGAAATTTTTTTAAGGTACTTTATGATATGTTGCCATGTGGCAACAAAGTCCAACAGTGGATCTAACTTAGACATTTCTAACGTAGAACTTCCCTCATAATTAATAATTTAGTATTTTTTAATTATTTAATAGGTGTTGGTGTATGATAAGCTTATCATACACCATCACACATAACTTTTAAATTACACCTTCTACATACTTTCCAATAACTGATATACCAACAGCTTTCATTTGTGCCATTCTTTTTTGTTGAATACTATTAGAAACAAGCATAATATTGTATTGTCATGTAAACAACACACAGTGAATATAAATATGCTGTCCGGTAAATATTATAACAAATACATAACAAGTGTAGAATATGCGGATGCATCAGAATAATGTAGCTACTAGCTAACAATGTTTATATATTATACTATATACTGTACTACACCTGTCTTATATGCCTCAGAGCTAACTTACCTGAACTGTCTCTATCAAATGTCTAATCTGCATTATTCTCATGATCATTAAACCCATCTCATCCTCAATTTCATCTGCAGGAAGAGCAATTTCTGTCCTTTTCTTCTTTCACGTACCATAGAACATGGTGGTGCTCGCTAATACACTGTTCCCTGTATTCATTTCTAATCAAAAGTACTGCCATTAAAGTTTGATTTTATCCATAATGCAAATACCATTAACACATGACTAATCAACATTATATCAATAGCGTTCATGTTGTTATTGTTACAACTTAAAAGTTCACAGCTGGCCTTGCTAGCTATAGCTAACCCAATATAATATTGCACGTTTCACTATTGAACAGTGTTGCACAGTAAATAATATTAGACTAGATATTCTTCAAGACTCTTCTATACAGATTAAAGTAACATTTTAAGGCTTAACTAGGTTAATTAGGTTAACTAGGCATGTTAGGGTAATTACGCAAGTTATTATATAATGATGGTTTGTTCTGTAGACTATCGGGGGTGGGTGGGGGTTGGGTCTTAAAGGGCTAATAATATTAACCTTAAAATATAAAAAAAAATGTAAAAAAAATTAAACTGCTTTTATTCTAGCCGAAATAAAAAGATAAGACTTTCTCCAGAAGAAAAAATATTATCAGACATACTGTGAAAATGTTCTTGCTCTCTTAAACATTTTTTGGGGAATATTTAAAAAAAAGAAAAGAAAAGAAAAGAAAATCAAAAGGGGAGCTAATAATTCTTACTTCAACTGTACATTTGATCGATTTACAAAAAAGTAATCAAACTTTTTTGAGTTGTGAATATGTCATCATAACTTACTGGAGGTGATGTTTCAGATGTTTTTGTGGATCTGATACGAGTTGATTCTTTGTTTTTATTGACGTTTACAATTGCATTCAGCAACTACTCACAATAAACGGTCGTGTGTCAGAATTTGCGCTACAGAAAAACACTGCACGTCATGTGACTTAACCAAAGCACATCATTGGCTGCATTAAGCTCTTCTCTTTCCAAAAAAAATAATGTTGGTCTTAAAGACACAGTGGCAGGGAAATTAACATAAATAACACATTGCCGTATGGCAACACCATGTGGTAGAGGGCTAAACCTGCTTCAGTAGCACTTTCTCCTTGTGTTATTTCATTGTTTTTACACAGAACTCATTTCTCAGATTTGTTTTGTTTTATTTGTATGTTTGTATTGTTTGGGTTTTTCCCAAAATCTGGTTCAATCCCATGTCAACAGCTCCTTTAGGAATATTATTCCCAGGAAAAAAACATGACAATGTCCTCAATACTTATTTTTCCCCGCTCTATAGTAAAAAAAAGTCCACAGATTACGTCTGAAACTGCCAATTGAGCTACAGGGACATTTTGGGATATTGTGTTTGCAACACAGTGTCCCAAAAGCTGATACCATTTACTGAGAACTGTGCTCTTTAAATATACCACATTTCCTATTGCATGTTGTTTTTCTGCTGTAACAAGTGTACCAAAAAAGGGAACTAGTTATTTTTGCATGTTGGTTACTGCAATGCCATTCTGAACAGCATTATGCCGTTTCTCTCTGTCAGGAGATTCACGCCGAAGAGGTGCGCAAGAATAAGGAGCTTAACACTGATCTTTCTGGTTAAGGACACTGTGGAGCCATGAGACGTCCAGTAAAGACAGCAGTTGGGCAGCAGTTTCTCATTCTTTGGCCACACTGTCTTAAGAGGTCATATCAAACTCACTCACCATACCAGTTTTCCTTACCAGTAAACATCTCTCTCACACACACACACACACAAACACACACAAACACACCATGTAGAAAAAAAAGTATGTGAATCCCCAAATGCCAAAGCCATACTTATTGGATATGTATTTCAGAAATATGGGCATTAAGGGTGCTTTGACATCTGTCGATTGGTCCACACCAATGACAAATGAAATGATTCATCCTAGCATTTTAAGTCATTTCGTTTCCTTGTGACAGCACTGATTGCTTTGGCCTGAAACAAACCAACATACTGTTATGAGACAACATCTACATCACTTAAATTTCTTACATTTAATTTGGATTGATCAAAATTTGAGGCTCTCTAATTGCTCACAACTGCAACTGCTGTGGAGCAAAACTGCTAAAGCACAAACCGTCAACACACTTCTCAATCAATGCTTTGTGATTCGTAGATTAATAATTGTGGATTCTTTCTGCAATCGATTCTGAGTGCTCTAGGCTAGTCTTAACAGCAGATGGTGCTGTGTGCTAGTTTTAAGTGCAGACAGTGCTCTAGGCTAGTTTTAACAGCAGATGGTGCTCTAGGCTTGTTTTAACAGCAGAGGGCGCTCTAGGCTAGTGTTAACAGCAGACGGCGCTCTAGACTAGTTTTAACTGCAGACAGTGCTCTAGGCTAGTTTTGACAGCAGATGGTGCTCTAGGCTAGTTTTTACAAGCAGATGGTGCTGTGGGCTAGTTTTAAACAACAGATGGTGGTTTAGATGGTGCTCTAGGCTAGTTTTAACAGCAGACTGTGCTCTAGGCTAGTTTTAACAGCAGAGGGCGCTCTAGGCTAGTTTTAACATCAGACTCCGCTCTAGGCTAGTTTTAAAAGCAGACGGCACTCTAGGCTAGTTTTAACAGCAAACAACACTCTAGGCTAGTTTTAACAGCAGAGGGCGCTCAAGGTAGTTTTAACAGAAGACGGAGCTCTAGGTTAGTTCTAACAGGAGACGGCGCTCTAGGCTAGTTTTAAAAGCAGACGGCGCTCTAGGCTAGTTTTAACAGCAAACAACACTCAAGGCTAGTTTTAACAGCAGAGGGCGCTCAAGGTAGTTTTAACAGAAGACGGAGCTCTAGGTTAGTTCTAACAGGAGACGGCGCTCTAGGCTAGTTTTAAAAGCAGACGGCGCTCTAGGCTAGTTTTAACAGCAAACAACACTCAAGGCTAGTTTTAACAGCAGAGGGCGCTCAAGGTAGTTTTAACAAAAGACGGAGCTCTAGGTTAGTTCTAACAGGAGACGGCGCTCTAGGCTAGTTTTAAAAGCAGACAGCTCTCTAGGCTTATTTAAATAGCAGAGGGCGCTCTAGGCTTATTTTAACAGCAGAGGGCGCTTTAGGCTTATTTTAACAGCAGAGGGCGCTCTAGGCTAATTTTAACAGCAAGGGGCGCTCTAGGTTTATTTTAACAGCAGACTGCGCTCTAGGCTGGTTTTAACAGCAGAGGGTGCTCTAGGCTTGTTTTACCAGCAGACGGGGCTCTAGGCTAGTGTTAACAGCAGACTGCACTCTATGCTAGTTTTAACAGTAGATGGCACTTTAGGCTAGTTTTTACTGCAGACAGTGCTTTAGGCTAGTTTTAACAGCAGAGGGTGCTCTAGGCTTGTTTTAACAGCAGAGGGCGCTCTAGGCTTGTTTTAACTGCAGACAGTGCTCTAGGCTAGTTTTAACAGCAGATGGTGCTCTAGGCTAGTTTTAACTGCAGACGGCCCTCTAGGCTAGTTTTAACAGCAGATGGTGCTCCAGGCTTGTTTTAACAGCATAGGGCGCTCTAGGCTAGTTTTAACAGCAGAGGGTACTCTAGGTTAGTTTTAACAGCAGACGGCGCTCTAGGCTAGTTTTAACAGCAGATGGTGCTCTAGGCTAGTTTTAACAGCAGATGGTGCTCTAGGCTAGTTTTAACAGCAGATGGTGCTCTAGGCTAGTTTAACTGCAGACGGCCCTCTAGGCTAGTTTTAACAGCAGATGGTGCTCTAGGCTAGTTTTAACAGCAGAGGGCACTCTAGGCTAGTTTTTACAGCTGACGGCGCTCTAGACGGTGCTGTACAGCAGGTGTTAGTTTTATTACTTCCTTACTAGCTGATGTTGATCCAGAAACATGCCCTATCTGGCAAGATCCCAGTCACATGCTTGGTAAACAAGGCTGTTGTCCAAAACTGTTGCACAATTCTTCATGTCAGTGTGTGGAATTTAATTATTAGACTACTCAAATATTATAAGGGGGTGTTCACATACTTTTGCCTATTAAAAACAAACAACTTGGATCAGCTTAAATTTCAAGATGAACATGTGTATGGTTGGCACTGTTGATAAGTTTCTGATTCAGAAAACCAGCTAGTCCAGTACATGAAGACTAGCATAAAGGAGATTTACACCAACATCATCCGGACATTTATTCTGCTCAAGGTTGTTGTTTAGCCAAGCTGAATCTCACAAAACCAAAAAACATGACTCTGTGTCCACATTTACACTGCACTTTATTGACTATGATTCATTCACATCGGTAGTTTAGGTGCATCTCATGGGTCAGGTCTGCTGGTTTGTTTTTCAGTGACCCGGAAGAGAAATGTCCAAGCTATTTGCTGCTAACTGATTAGTGAAATGCATTTGAAAAAGATTAAAGCATAACATGGTGTTCTTAATGCTGAGTTTCTGTCATTTTTGCTGTTTAGACTATTTATGATGCCAAAAGTTAATGTCAAAGTCACAGTACATTAACAAAATGATGCACTACAACAATAATAAAAAGTGAAGTTGAAAACAGTGTTGTGTTATATTGTAGATTTACATTATGCAATTTACACTGTTGTTACACTTAAGGGGGGGTGTTTTATTCTAACTAAAATTTTGCGTCTTCCTAGTATCTCTAAAGCTTTTTTTTTTTGCGTGTAGTTCACATCGGATCAAGTTTTGAATATGTAAATTAGTGACACAGTAGTTTCTAAACAAGGCTTCTCGGCCTTCATTAGACTATTATGAATACTGATAAAAGGCTCTCTTCCTCCTACAGTAAAACAGTCATTAGAGCGCAGTAAAATCAGGGTGTGTTTGTATACGTGTCATATCATGTGTGTATAATAGACTCTGACATATCATGCGCCTGTGACGATGAACTCTGGCCAAACTGTGATGCAAATGACAGATAGATGAAACTGAACCTGGTTTGTTTACTTAGATACTGCTGCTAATGTTTTCCCTTTCAATGCCCTACATATACAGTTGAAGTCAGAATTATTCACCCACTAGTACATTTCTTTCTGAAATATTTAGCAAATGATGTTGAACAGATTCAGGAATTTTTCACAGTATGTCTGATAATATTTTTTCCTCTGGAAAAAAAGTCTTTTTTGTTTTATTTTGGCTAGAATAAAAGCAGTTCTTAATTTTTTAACACCATTTTAAGGTCAATATTATTTGCCCATTTAAGCAATATTAGTTTTGGATTGTCTACAGAACAAACCACTGTTATACAATGACTTGCCTAATTACCCTAACTTTACCCTGATTAACCTAGATAAGCCTTTAAATGTCACTTTAAGCTGTATAGTAGTGTCTTGAAGAATATCTAGTCTAATATTATTTAATGTCATCATGGCAAATATAAAATAAATCAGTTATTAGAGATGAATTATTAAAACTATTATGATTAGAAATGTGTTCTTCTCTCTGTAAACTTAAATTAGGGGAAATAATATGCAGGAGGCTGAAAATTCTGACTTCAGCTGTATCCCCTTTTGCGTGAGAGCATTTAAAAATGCACAGAAGAAAAAACAGGCAGGTAGCTGTGACGTAAACCTGTTTTGTTTGTGGCAAGCCTTACTTTACACTATATGGAAGTAATAAGGGAGTTGTCAGAATAAATATTAACAGTGCATACAAACAATACCAGTTCTTGAAGTAACAATGCTGCAGTTTCAGTCATCTGTTATGCTAATAGTTTGTACTCTGTGTTCAACCTGTTGTCATTTCTAAATTCGTCTAGGGGGAAAATCACGTGCAATGATAATAAGCAGAAATAATAATGCTGAGATGTGTTTTTATTGTTTTAGTTTCATTTCCTAACAAATCCACTCTCTGCAAGAAGGTTATAGTGTAACAGCATTGGTGCGTTCATATTCTACATATAATTTTTGTAGGATGCCAAGAATGATAGTACAATTTTGAGATATGAGATTTTGGTGTCACAGTGGCGCAGTGGGTAGCACGATCACCTCACAGCATGAAGGTCACTGGTTCGAGTCCCGTCTGGGTCGGTTGGCATTTCAGTGTGGAGTTTGCATGTTCTCCCGTGTTGGCGTGGGTTTCCCCCATAGACCAAGCACATGCGCTATAGGGGAACTGCAGTAGTGTATGAGTGTGAATTCAAGAGTGTATGGGTGTTTTCCTAGTGTTGGGTTGCAGCTGGAAGGGCATCCTCTGCGTAAAACGTGTGCTGGATAAGTTGGTGGTTCATTCTGCAGTGGGGACGCCAGATTAATAAAGGGACTAAGCCAAAAAAAAAATGAGTGAATTAATGTAAAATATATACAGTTTATATATACAAGTTATTAGACTTTTTTAACACATTTTAAAATAAAATGTAATTTTAACAGCTAATTTATAACCAAGTTCTTAATTTTTAATTACATTTTCTCACATTTTTTTATTCCAGCCAAACTAAAAAAAATAAACAAGACTTTCTCCAGAAAAAATTTAAATAAATAAATTGTGAAATAAATGAAAAATAATGACAATTATATATAAATAACTTCAACTTTGTGCATAGAGTTAATGCTTAGCAAATCATGAATTAACTGTTTGCTAATGCTTAATGAACTATTTATAGTGTGTATTTTAAATAGATTAATAAAGAGACTAAGCCAAAAAGAAAATGAATGAGAAAGGAGATTTTGTGTTGTTTCTAATTGTGGATCTTTGTAGAATGGTAAACATGTAGGCCTCAGGGAAGACCCAGGACACGCTGGAGGGACTATGTCTCTCGGCTGGCCTGGGAACACCTCGGGATCCCCCCAGAGGAGCTGGAGGAAGTGTCTGGAGAAAGGGAAGTCTAGGGTTCTCTCCTAAGACTGCTTCCCCTGCTACATGGCCCTGGAAAAAAAAAAGAAATAATAGTCAGAAAGAATAATATAAATAATATATAAAAATATATAATGAAAACTAATATAAAATATCAGATTTTGAAAAAGTAAAGCTATAAAATTATGAAATTTTTGTAAAGTTTGTAGTATTAGGAAAAATGTAGACACATGAACAACCTTTTTTGTTGTTTATTCATTTCTTTGTGTGATGCTAAGAATAATAGAACAATTTTGTAGAAAGAAATAATAGTGAGAAAGAAGCAAAATAATATTAAATATCAGCTTATTTTTTGCATGAGTTTTGTGAATATGCTGCAATGTTTTATGATATACTGCAATACCTGCTGAAATTAAAATAAAATGTATGTTATAAAATAACAGTTAGTAGAAAGTTTGCAGCATCAGTCAAAATCAATTAAAACATGAACTACATTTTATTTTAGTTACTGATTTTATTTTTTCTAGTTGTATTTGTTGTATTTTAGTTGTTCCGGTGTACTAAAATACGGTTGTTCCTCGAGGCGCAACAAGTAAAAGGGGAAGCCAAAAGTCACGTAACAAAAGTTTTATTTTTAAGCCCGCTGTGATCAAACATTAGGCAAAAACGCCCCGCCAACTCACACGCCGCTGGTCTCCGTCCAACCCTTAGCCGGAAGAAATCTCTCTCAAACAGTGGCAGGACGCTGATAAAGGAGCGCTCAGACTCAGGTGTTCCCCATCCACCTGATTATGCCCCGCAATGTTACAGCGCATCTGTAGAGGGAGCAAAACAGACACACAGACAGACACGGCAGACAAATGACAGCGTAGCAGGCGTCAAACTGGGCCACAGGCTGTCACCAGGTCTCCCCTCCTTGGGTAGCAGGTGAACTCCGCAGCGTCCTCCCTATCAGGACTGAACGCTTTCCCAGCGTACTGTCGTATTAAAACCCTTTTTACTGGGTTATTTTTGACTCCCCGAAAAATATAGCTAAACCTGAACAGGTAAGTAAGGGCCAGGGGACACGTTGGAAGACTGCATCTCGCGGCGTTGTAGGTGCGCTCGCCCTACTGTGTGGCGCACCCTTCGCCAGGGGCGCGGTAAAGTGCTTTCGTTGTGGCGTTTTCCATAGATTTCCCCATAGTTGAAGGTTTTCCACATGGCATTGGAGTTCCCCACCCAAAGGGGAACGCTACGGTTACTAAAGTAACCCAATATGTACCTTCGCCTCAACGATCGTCCCTTAGCTGTTGAGCGTGAAAGTCTCCTCAGAGCATTGCACTAGCCGCGTCTTATATACTTGACTGATTGTCATTGACGCCAGCTGTGCATGCTGACGCTGCCATTTCATTTGGCATTTCATTGGCCCGATTTTATACTCTTTCAGATGATTGGTTTCTGAAGAAAACCCATAGTGGAAGGTTTTCCACATAGCATTTCCGTTCCCCAGGGTTCCCATTTCAGTCCACATTTCTATTTATAAATCTGACACAATATAATTAAGCTTTAAAATGTTCCCTACAAAACAAATTTTCAATTAATGAGAACTGTTTTTTATCATTTCAGGATTATAAACTTCTTCATTGTATTACTACACTCTCAGAAATAAAGGTACAGGAGCTGTCACGGGGCGGTACCTTTTAAAAAGATACATGTTTGTACCCAAAGAGTCCACAGCAGTACCTCAAAGGTGCATGTTAGTGCCCAAATGTACCTAAAAAGTACCTTTGAGGTACCATCATGGCCCCTTCAGCCAGGTACATATGTACCTTTTGAAAAGGTACTGCCCCAGTGACAGCTCCGGTACCTTTATTTCTGAGAGATAAGTTTCATTCTTGTCAAATGATGAAACATTTCGTATTTGTGTCATCATGGGGATATTACATTACTGTGCAATGTTGTTTGTGAGAAAGGCTTCTTCCTGTCGTCCCAACACAAATCGATTAGATTTACTCAATGTTTTTACAGTTTTAAGTTGATTGAACATAAAATGGTCACACTTTGCAATAAGGTTTCATTAGTTCATTCATTTTTCTTCACTTTAGTCCCTTATTTATCAGGCTTCGCCACAGCGGAATAAACTGCCAACTATTCCAGCATATGTTTTACACCAGGGGTCACCAATTTTGGTCCTGGAAGGCTGCTGTCCCTGCAGGGTTTAGCTCCAACTTGCCTCAACACACCTGCCTGGGTGTTTCAAGTATACCTGGATTAGCTTGTTCAGGTGTGTTTGATTAGGGTTGGAGCTAAAATATGCAGTATACCGGCCCTCCAGGAACAAGTTTGGTGTCCACAGTTTTACACAGTGGATGCCCTTCCAGCTGCAACCCAGTACTGGGAAACACCCATACACACTCATTTACAAACACTCTTATACACTATGGCCAATTTAGTCAATCAATTCCCCTATAGCGCATGTGTTTGGACTGTGGGAGACGCCGCGCCAACACGGGGAGAACATGCAAACTCCACACAGAAATGCCAACTGACCCAGCCGGGACTCGAACTAGCATCCGCTGCATAAAACGTGTGCTGGATAAGTTGGCGGTTCATTCCGCTGTGGCAACCCCAGATTAAGAAAGGGACTAAGCCGACAAGAAAATGAATGAAAAAAAAACTATAAATAATTACATTTATTGGATAAAAAAAAAGTATATAAAAGAGCAAGTATGTGAAAATACAATAAATTAATTAATTGTAATTTAAAAAAAAAGTTAAAATAAATAATAATAATAATAATATAAAATGTAATATAATTCGAAAAATGACTAAATACATAAATAAATTTAAATAGCATGAACAAATACTGTAATAAATATTAACTAACACAACCTTATGGTAAAGTGTTACCCATAACATAATTAATTTGTTACAAAAAACTCAAGAATTTAGCTCTTTTTAAATAAGTAGTTTGATCAAGCAGCAAAAAATATCAAAGAAGAATAGCAAAAAAAAAAATTTAATACTAATTAGGCTGTTTATAAAAATTCAAAATCAAACACAAAGTTCTCAGGGGTAGCTTAAATAATGTGGCGGTGCTCTTCGTGTAAGGGATTCATCAGAATAAACATCGAAATCAGCCCAAAGCACTCAAAAAATATGGGAAAAATATTATTAAACGTGTAGGTGCAGTTTTAAGAAAAAGCAATGTCAGGAAAGGCTTTTTATTATTTTTTCCACATTTTTCGAGTGCCTTTGACTGACTTTTGCTGTTTATGCTAATTTGGCTGTTGTTGTTAGATTAATTTTCTCGAGAGGCTAGAAGAAAATCGTGAAGCTCTTTTTTTTATATTTGTTTATTATAAATCTTTAGGAAATATTTTGGTACATTTAATTTGATAAAAAATAAATATGAAAATACAATAAATTAATTAAATGTAATTTTAAAAAAGTTAAAATGAATAATAATATAAAATGTAAAATAATTCGAAAAAATTGATAAATACATAAATAAATTTAACTAACATGAACAAATACTGTAATAAATATTAACTAACACAACCTTATGGTAAAGTGTTACCCATAACATAATTAATTTGTTCCAAAAAAAACTCAAGAATTTTTGCTCTTTTTAAATAAGTAGTTTGATCAAGCAGCAAAAAATATCAATGAACAATAGCAAAAATGCATTATAAAGTGTAAACTGAGGTACAATGAAATACTGTGTAAACATAGTGCTGACTCTTCCCTCTGGGGCTGAGGATTAAAGTGTGTTCTCCATGTTTATCTTTTTGCTTTTAGTTCTAACTCAATATTATTTACCAAGAATTTTAGTCTTTCTCCGAACAAAACCCCTAGACTCGAAAGAAGGCCATAACAATATTCTATACAGTAAGGAAACAGCAGCATTTGTAGATGTTTGTTTGTTATTAAAGGCCAGTTTCCTGTGGTTTTCATCAGAACTGAAACTGAAACCTAAGCCTGAGTCTGCTCTGTTTAGTTGCGCTGGAAAAAGAAAGTTAATCTGTAGCTGTAGGAAGGAGTGGCTTCTTCCAGCGTCAGCAACCTCTCTATAAATCTCCAAAGCGCTTCTAGATTTGCACACATGACTGAGAGAGCCTGACAGATCCAGGAATATCCTCACATCTCCAACCACGGGAAAGATGATATGAAGGTAAGACAGAGTGGTTCGTCATCGTGGCCAATACATGTTACCTGATGCTTTTTGGTAAACATTGTGCTAAATAATGGATGAGGAAGATCCTTGTTATCATCTGTGGATGTTTACTTTCATTTCTTCTTTTGTTTCTGTGGTGTTCATAAAGTAAATGGTGAATGAATCGCATCGCTTTACGGTACATAAACTCACATTCAGAAGAATACAAGCTAAATAAAGTAGTATGTTGGATTTTTGTCAGTCTGTTATAGCACTAACTTTTGCATCATATCCAAATTATCCAATCATGTAGACATACAGTAAGTAAATCTTAAATTATTCTCCATATTGTAAAACAAATCAGTTAAATGAGCAGTTTTCTGTATATATATATATATATATATATATATATATATATATATATATATATATATATATATATATATATATATATATATTTGTATAAATAAATATTGTTTATTTATGCTTTTAAATTGCATTATGGTAGTTTGATGTTTCTTCCCACAACTTTTAACCTTGAAAAAGTGGCTTTTATCAATATTTTTAATTATTTTAATTAATTATTTTGTTGTGGATGTTGTGTATTCCACTAAAAAAAGTCTTGCAATTCTTAATATACACACTTATTTCTCTAGATATTATTTCTTATACATTATATTATGTATTGAAACTACAAAAATGCCAATAAAAGTCATATGGTTAAACTGTAGAGTTGAATTTTCACCAACAAAAGTCGACAGAACAGAAATCAACATCCCATAATGCAGTTCACATCCGGAAATGAACCCAAAACACTTTACTGTTAAATAGCAACATTTTTTTACAGTGTGCAAAGTTAAAGAGGGTTTCTTTATGCACTGTACTTGGATTTGCATACATATTAAAGCAGATTGCCTACAGATCTGTAGAAGACTTAGATTAAGCCTTATATTTAATACAGATCAATAGTTTTCTGTTGGGTGTTGCTGATAATAGTTTAAAGAGTTCAACAAACAGGAAGTTGTTTAACTTTTAGGAAGGAAGTTGTTAAACTGTTGTTTAACTTATGCTGCCAGTAATAAATGCCAGTAGTATATTACATTAATAGATATCCGATGCTTTAAATCAGTGTTTTTCAATATGGGGGTCTGACAATGAAGGGGGCGTCGCATGGTGAATTCCAAAAATCTATTTATTTTGAATAAACCATAAGAATTACCATATTTTATCCTTAACCTACTGAAGAGGAAAAATAGTTGTTTATAGTCACTATAGTAGCTTATAGTTCTATTGGATTGCGACCCCTGGGGTAATCACATTATATTAAAGACACAGCAGTAGCGTCAGATTGATTTTATAAATCCAGTTTAAACTTTCTGGCCCATTTACAGCACTCACATACATAAAAAAAAAAATTAAACGAAGAATAGATTTGGGTCTATTAGTGTGCTTGCGCCATTGCATGCAAGGTTTCTGTATTTATAACCACCTCAGAGGATATTGGGGGTCGCGAGTCACTGGCATTGTCATTTTGGGGGTCGCGGGTTGAAAAGTTTGAGACCCCCTGGTTTAAATGACCAACAGTGTCAAAATGGCATGAAGTAATATATGATTGTATATTACTGGATTATAATATAATATAGTAATAACAGGCCTGTAGCCAGGGGGGGGGGGGGGGTTGGGGGGGTTCGGGTGGTTCGAAAAAACTGCCCCCACTGACAAAGGGCCAGAATTTGCCATCGGTCCAGAAGTTTTGCCAGTATATTCTCATTTGACCTATTTTGACTGTTGTGTCATCATAATTTGTGGAAATAACCCATCGAAGGTTTTAAGAAAATGCACAATATGACATAAGTGAAGTCAACTTTCACTATTGACCTGCTGTTGTTAAAAAAAAGCATTTTACAAGCAGCCTAACTTTTATTCAAAATCTTGAACCTCATTCTTGAGAGAGAAAATCTGACCAATGAAAAGGGCTGAAGCACCAAAAGCAGCCTAATAAAGTTCATTTTAATACTAATTAGTTTGTTTATAAAAATCCAAAATCAAACACAAAGTTCTCAGGGGTAGCTTAAATAATGTGTTGGGGCTCTTCGTGTAAGGGATTCATCACAAAAATAATAAAAAGCCTTTATTGACATGGCTGTTGCTTAAAACTGCGGCTACATCAGGTTACTCTGAGGAAGTCAAGTGTTATTAAACGTGTAGGTGCAGTTTTAAGAAAAAGCAATGTCAGGAAAGGCTTTTTATTATTTTTTCCACATTTTTCGAGTGCCTTTGACTGACTTTTGCTGTTTTTACTAATTAGGCTGATGTTGTAGATTAATTTTCAAGAGAGGCTAGAAGAAAATCGCGAAGCTCTTTTTTTATATTTGATTATTATAAATCTTTAGGAAATATTTTGGTACAGTTAATTTGATAAAAAATAAATATATGAAAATACAATAAATTAATTAAATAAAATTTTAAAAAAGTTAAAAATAAATAATAATATAAAATGTAATATAATTCGAAAAAATTAATAAATAAACATGAACAAATACTGTAGTTAATATTAACTAACACAACCTTATGGTAAAGTGTTACCCATAACATAATTCATTTGTTACAAAAAAACTCAAGAATTTTGCTCTTTTTAAATAAGTAGTTTGATCAAGCAGCAAAAAATATCAAAGAACAATAGCAAAAATAATTTTAATACTAATTACTATATATATATATATATATATATATATATTTTTAAGGGTATTTTAATGTATTGCTTTTACAAACTTATAGAGCATATTATTGCCATGGCATATAACGCACAATGCTTCTCCAATCAAGTTCTATGAATCTGAGTCGTTCATAATACAAACACTGATTTACTGTCTCTCTCCTCCTCTCCCTGTATTTTCTCTACTCTTCTCGTGATGAAGACTTGATTATAAACCTAAAAGTATCCGAAATCACAGACACTATACCTCTTCTCTCCCGTCTCTCTCCTCTTCTGGGCCTTTCTCTCTCTCTCTCCCTCTCTCTCCTTTTCTGTCTGTCTCTCACACGATGAATCCAGTCCGCGCTGCGCTGCCGTTAGCCTCCTCCGCCTGGTTAATAGCTACTCGTCATTTAAAGTTACCATAACGTCTTCTTCTGTACCCTCATTCTCCTGATCATGGGTCTGCTAAAGATGGTGTGTATGGAAAATGCCTCAATAAAGATTTCTCCTCTCCTCTTTCTCTCGCGTTTGCTAAATCCACTTGTCCACTCATTTTTGATCTATGACAGATATAACGTTACACTAAAGTCCGCTCAGTTTAGTGCGGGTTATTACAAAACTGCATGGATGGATGGATAGATAGATAGATAGATAGATAGATAGATAGATAGATAGATAGATGGATGGATGGATGGATGGATGGATGGATGGATGGATGGATGGATGGATGGATGGATGGATGGATGGATGGATGGATGGATGGATGGATGGATGGATGGATGGATGGATGGATGGATGGATGGATAGATAGATAGATAGATAGATAGATAGATAGATAGATAGATAGACGGATATATAGATGGATGGATAGATAGATAGATAGATAGATAGATAGATAGATAGATAGATAGATAGATAGATAGATAGATAGATAGATAGATAGACGGACGGACGGACGGACGGACGGACGGACGGATGGATGGATGGATGGATGGATAGACAGACAGACAGACAGACAGACATATAGAGGGACGCATGGATGGATAGATATATGATAGATATAGATAGATTTTTCTGTGCAATGCCGCCCTCTGGCTTTAAATATGAATTAAACATAATTACATGTGAGAGTTTAAAGGGTTACTTTACCCATGTTTAGATGAATTAACCATTTAAGGCTCTACAGTGGTGATAGTGTCATACTACAGCAGGGATCACCAACATGGTGCCCGTGGCCACCAAGTAGCCCGCCAGGTTCACATGAGTTGCCCGCGGGCCTGTTCTAAGAATAGCTCACCAAAGCACCACATATGAGTAAGCTGCCTCTAATATTTTTATAGGTATTCTTTTAAATCACACTTGCATTAGTGTAAATTTGAAAATTACTTTAAGATATATATTTAAAAAAAAACTTTAAAAACAATTTCAGACAAATGAAGTGTTGCATATTGATATTTATCTAACTTGTTAAATCATTGTTGACAACTACTGTGAGAAATCATTAACATGATCAGTGTCTTCACATAGATGAATATTTTTAATTATTAATAATAACATATAATTAAAAGTAAATTAAGTAAAATGTGTTATTTAATAACTGGTAGCCCTTCACACTAATCGGCACCCAAGAAGAAGCTCTCAGTTTCCAAAAGGTTGGTGACCCCTGTACTACAGTATATTTACTCCAGCAAGGGTACAGTTCATTGTCACACCCCAGTTAACACGATAACTCTCAATACTGATATTGTGACACCCCTAGTCTGCAGGACGGATGAGTAAGTGGATAATACACCCAAAGATTTTTGAGTGTTAAAAAAACAACAAATGTTAAATAGAGAATATTTTTCTAATTGAATGTTTTTTCCTTTTCTAACAGAGATGTAATCTAAACCATGGCTTTAGCAAAGAACCACTATAAACTTCAAGCATTACTACAGACGTACACACTGTGTGTGAGATGCGGGAGGTGCTGTAATAAACACAATAAAATTTCATACTCCCTCAACAATATCAAGCACAGCTGCTCAGAAAACATTGTACTGATCAGACGGAAACAAGACGGCTCATACTGGAGGCCTGTTGCACCCTTGCCAAACTTCCCCAGACCAAAGAAGTATGTTGCTTGCTGGTACTACACTAAAGATCGTGGATGCACAAGGCATGGAAATAATTGTCAATTTGCGAGCAGCTCGGAGGAAGCAGACTTGTGGAATGTCATGAAAGATGAAAAACTGACCATTCCTCAGATTGTGAATGCGATCAAACAAAACCAAAGGACACCGCAGATAACATTTCAGGAGAAACGAGGACCGCATGACTGCACGTTATGTCAGGTCCACTTCCCAACGGACGAGGACTTCATGAACCACTGTTTCACCGTAAAGCACAGAAGACGGATCTTTGAAGATGGCAATAAGACCTGGAAGCACCGCGAGCCGCCACCAACACACAAGGACCTGAAACTGTGTGAAAGGTGTGTATGTGAAAAGTGACATGCCATTAAATCAGGGGTTTCCAATCCTGTGCATGATATTCAAGGTCTTCAGGGTTAGTAAATGATGTTGGGACAAACTGAAAGGATTTTTTCATTTCCAGAACCAAAGATAACATAAAATTCACTCCTCCCTTAGTCACCCAAGATGTTCATGTCTGTCTTTAATTAGTCGTAAAAAAAATATATATATATATTTTTCTCAGGATAAAATTACAAATTTCTGAAATTTCCTCCATATATATATATATACACAGTTAAAATTATTAGCCTCCCTGAAGATTTTTCCAACACATTTCTAATCATAATAGTTTTAATAACTCATGTCTAATAACTGATTTATTTTCTCTTTGTCATGATGACAGTAAATAATATTTGTCTAGATATTTTTCAAGACACTTCTATACAGCCTAAAGTGACAATTAAAGGCTTAACTAGGTTAATTAGGGTAACTAGGCAGGTTAGGGTAATTAGGCAAGTTATTGTATAATGATGGTTTGTTCTGTAGACTATCAGAAAAAATAGCTTGAAGGGTCTAATAATTTTGTCCTTAAAATGGGGTTTAAAATATTAAAAACTGCTTTTATTCTAGCCGAAATAAAACAAATAAGACTTTCTCCGGGATGAAAAATATTATCAGACATACTGTGAAAATTTCCTTGATTTGTTAAACATCATTTAGGAAATATTTAGAAAAGAAAAAAAAATTTAAAGGGGGGCCAATAATTCTGCCTTCAACTGTGTGTATGTATATATATATATATATATATATATATATATATATATATATATATATATATATATATATATATATATAAACTCTTCTTTCACAAACCAAAAACAATGTGAGATTTGAGAGGAAATTAAGGCTGTGAGTAGAGGAAGATCTTTCTTTATTATAATCACAAGCTCTACCATTTTACATCGGGGGATGCTGCCATAAATATTTAGTTGAAACACAACATAACATTTAATCTAAGCTTAGTGGTGCGACACAAAAATATTTAGTAGTGTGTAAGTCACAACTAGCAACAGGCCCCAGTTGAGAGAGCCAGAGGGGGGGGGGGGGGGCAGCTACACTCATACGCAGATAGATAGATAGATAGATAGATAGATAGATAGATAGATAGATATATAGATAGATAGATAGATAGATATATAGATAGATAGATAGATAGATAGATAGATAGATAGATATATAGATAGATAGATAGATAGATAGATAGATAGATAGATAGATAGATAGATAGATAGATAGATAGATAGATAGATAGATAGATAGATAGATAGATAGATAGATAGATAGATAGATAGATAGATAGATAGATGATATTCAAAGAGCTGTCATTATCACAGAACGATTATCTCAATGTTGCTATTGTTTGATTCAACCGATTTTTATCTGAACGTGATTTTGAGTAGCTTGTCAGTGAATTACAGATCTGTGTTGTAAATGTTGCTCCATGTGCAGGAGGTTTAGATCCAGCTTTATGCCTCATTCACACAAGCAGCGATGTCGCTCTGGGAGAATACAACCGGCCTCTGAGCGAGCTGAGAGAGGATCACGTGAGCTCTACTAGTGCTTCTATTGGCTGTCTCAAGAAAGTCACTCTTCATTTGCATGAAGTTAAAGAATTCTCAACTTTGCCCCTGTGAGACACTTAGAGTTTCAATGAGGCTTTGCTGACAAAATGTAGATAAAAATTACATTTGATTAATTGCCTAGCTGATTTGCTACCCTTATTCCTTAGCTAGAATAATTTTCAGTCCCCTGGAACTGCATTTGGTAAGTTCAAAAACCACTGAGAACTTCCAGAGGTACTTTATTAATTTTTTTTTTTTAAAAAACATAATTTCTTTACAAATAAAGAAAGACTTTAACATTTTAAGTGAAGTTTCACAAATGTGGCTGGTCTCTCATCTGTTTCAATTCAATTCAATTCAATTCAGCTTTATTTGTATAGCGCTTTTACAATGTAGATTGTGTCAAAGCAGCTTCACATAAATGGTCACAGTAACTGGAACAGTGTGGTTCAGGTTTTAGTGTTTAAGTTCAGTTCAGTTCAGTTTAGCTCAGTTCAGTGTGATTTAATCATTACTGAGAGTTCAAACACTGAAGAGCAAATTCATCGATGCGTAGCTCAACCAATCCTGAACCATACGAGGCAGTGGCGACAGCGGAGAGGGAAAAAAAAACTTCACCTGATGGGAGTGAAGAAAAAAACCTTGAGAACCAGACTCAGTTGGGCACGACCATTTTAATTTCTCCGCTGGCCAAAAGTCTTGTGCAGAGCTTCATTCGCTGTGGTCTTACTAACAATCTGTAATTGTTAGTAAGCCAATCGGATCATTCCGAACTCACTATATAGCCCGTTTTTTTTTAAATCCCCCCATCCACTCCATCTCCCCTTTTCCTCCATTACCAGGGGGAGCTCTTGAGAACTACCTGATCTCAGACCCCCTTACATGCTCATCGACCAGGCAGGAGCTCTGGCCTCACTTATCTCCAAGCTCAGGGTTCTCTCCTGGGACAGCATGCCAAACCTGCTATTGTTATCAAGCAACTCTTGAAATAACAAACGTGAGAGTAAAATATCTGTACATTGTTGTTCCAATTGTTGAAAACTTTGGACCTCCAGGACCACGATTGATCACCTCTGTATTAGATGTTTTCCTATTTCAAAAATAACTAAAGCAGCATATTTATAACATTCTCTTGTAGATCCCTGATATGTGAGTATGGAGATAACTGCACAAAGGCGCACAGTCAAGAGGAACTTCAAGAATGGCAAACAAGAGTCAGAGCTGTACGAAATAAAGCCCGAGATGCAGCCAGTCAGGGTCTACTCTCCTACCAGGACAATCTGCTGGACGAATACAGGCACAGCAAAGACAAGAAGATGATTGTAAGTACTGTAGGTCATACAGTAATCAATAATGTCAGTGCAGTGATTATCCAAATGATGTTGAACAGATTCAGGAATTTTTCACAGTACTTCCTCTAATATTTTATCTACTGGAGAAAGACTTATTTGTTTTATTTTGACTAGAATAAAAGCAGTTCTTCATTTCTTTAAAGCATTTTAAGGTCAATATTATTAGCCCCCTTAAGCAATATTAGTTTTGAATTATCTCCAGAACAAACCACTGTTATACAATGACTTGCCTAATTACCCTAACTTTACCCTAATTACCCTAGTGAAGCCTTTAAATGTCACTTTAAGCTGTATAGTAGTGTCTTGAAGAATATCTAGTCTAATATTATTTACTGTCATCATGGCAAAGATAAAATAAATCAGTTATTAGAGATGAATTATTAAAACTATTATGTTTAGAAATTAGCTGTAAAAATCTTCTCTTCAGGGACTGATAATACTATACAGGGAGTCTAATAATTCAGGAGGGCTAATAATTCTGACTTATCTTATCCTTGATTTTTCATTGCTTGTTGGATGTACAGAACATTTGGTTTGTGTGTTATATAAGCTAACAGACGATGTGTTAATTCATCATATATTTATATATATATTCATATATATGTGTGTGTGTGTGTATATATATATATATATATATATATATATATATATATATATATATATATATATATATATATATATATACACACACACACACACACACATATATATATATAAATTGAAGTCTTTCTAAAGCATCATAAATATTTTTTATCAATATTCACGCAGATGACTGACACCATTCCTGATGTGTTCATCACCTGTGACCGAGATTTAGATGCTGTCTATGTAAGGAAAAGGGGAATACAGTGTACATGGAATTTTACCATCATATCTAAGGTTTGTATATTAATATATGACATAATTAGTCTTACTTTCAGAAATAAGTATTTTGACAGGGTTGTTGTTTAATTACAGTACAGTATTACAGTTAGTTTTTCTCAGTGGCTTTGATGCATTTCTCACAACACTATTTACATTTGCACAAAAGGTAATGCATTTACTTGCTTTTGAGGAATGAACTATCCATTTTGAGCAAGTGGCATGCTTTTGCAGGTTAATGCAAAAGCGTAAAATGCATTAACTGTTGAGCAAATGTAAATATTGTTGTGAGAAATGCACCAAAGCCAATGAGAAAAACTTTGATACTTCTACATAACATGTCACATATAGTTTTTAAATCTATTAAAGCAGTATTTTTGTGGTCTGGGATACATTCAAGGGTCAAGAGATCTACAGGATATAATTATTAACATTTAACAGTTAAATAAAATAGTGCATTACTAAGGTTTGTACTAGGACTGCACAATATATTGTTTCAGCAAATATTGCAATGTGTGAGTCGGCAATAGTCACATCGAAAGATATGCAATGTAGCTGGGATTATAGTTGACCATAACACAGTGGAGTATTTTCAAAGTTTAGCCATAGAATGAAAGTTAATTATTTGCATGTTTTTAAGGCCTGACTGTAAGAATTTGAATTAAACTTGAGCCATTTGGGCACAATAAATAAAACGTTTGTTGAGATTATTTAAACATATCATTATTTACTCAAAATGATACAGTGTTAATATTTTTATTATTATTATTATTATTATTATTATTATTATTATTATTATACTGTGATTATTTAATTTCCTTTTCTGAATAGTTTGACTCCCCAAAAAATTCTAAATTATTGTTTATTTGCATCTTTTGTCTGTTGTCTTTGACTATACTTATACATGTTTAATTATGTTTAATGCAGATACACTCCCCTACAGAATCATCCCAATTGATCTAAAATGATAAATTCTTTACGAGCTATTCAAGTCATCTGGTGAAACTGCATTTATGCCACAATATATATACAAACTAGGGCGGCACGATATTGGAAAAACTGACATCGCAATATTTTTTATTCATGCATATCCCAGTGAATAAAAAATATTGCAATGTCAGTTTTTCCAATATCGTGCCGCCCTAGTTTATACATCATTAAATGACATAATTAGTCTTACTTTCCTTAATAAGTATTTTGACAGGGTATGTATAATTATGGTATAGTAACACCAGTATTAATACTCCTACATACGTTCTTTATTTATTTTTTTAATATACTAAAGCAGTCTGGGATACATTAAATGGTCAAGAGACCTGAAAGATATCGTTATTATCGTTTAATGATTGCCACAAATTATGCAAACAAAGTAAAACCGTGCATATATGTTGTAATAACTATATAACTGCATAATTATTAAAATCATTCAGCGTAAATCTGCACATTTTTCTGCACAGAAATAGCACAAGATGACCACAGATTCTGTCTGGCCCTTCTACAGTATAACTAATAACTGTAGTACTGTCCATTATTAGATAACTGCATAGTTTTCAGAAGTGTAATAAACATGTAGACACCTTTGCAGAGACATTGATCTGTACTTGTAATTTACTTGAATGCCTCCAGGAGCCTCTTGAAGTTATTGCTTTACTCAGGCGGGAACAGGGGGCAAAATTCAGCCTCAGCAAAAAACCAGATGAGGAACGGTCGTATTCCACGAGCGCTTGGTTTGAAAAGAGGACAGAGCAAACTGGTGAAGATTAAACATCTAAAATGTACCCTATTGCAGAGCTGGGTAGTAACATACTATGTACTCTTGATTATCAGTTTATAAAAATCAAGTACTTGTTATCAGAGTTAATGTTACTTTTTTAAGGATTACAAATTATATTTATACAATGGCAGTAAATTGTACACAATAGAATATTCATCTTTTTTATGTTTGTATTGTTTCATAATAAGCGCGCTGCCTTTATATTGTCATTATTCTTCATGATTGAAATGTTGCTGTTTGGTGTTCTTCATTCAGACTCATCTGCACTAGCGTTTTTTTTTTACGAAATATTTAATGTCAAATTTTAATGTCATATTTGCTGTTTATTTCAATTTCAGTTCTGTAATGTTGCTGTTTTCTAAACTTACGGTATTTAGTATAATATAAGGTCATACAGTTTTATTCACTGTTACTATCAGCAAACACTAACAGTGAGGTATATTAGTGTATTTAATATTAGAAAAATATTAGAAATAAATATATTAAAGTAATTTGAAGCAACTGTCCATCATTGCACTTTAAAAAGAAGCTGTTGAGGCTCTTGTTGCTGATAATTGCAAAATAAAATAATGTTTATTTTTGCATCTGTCAAAATAGTACAAGATTACCCTGCTTCAATATATGTGACCTCAAATAAGAGTTAGCAAAAAGTAATCTAAATGTAATCCAAAAGTAGTCAGATTACATTTCCATAATTGTATAATCTATTATCAAATATTCATTCATTAATTTTCAGCTTAGTCTCTATTTCAGAGGTCGCCATGGTGGAATGAACCGCCAACTATTCCAGCATATGTTTTACACAGCAGATGACCTTCTAGCAGCAACCCAGTACTGGGAAACACCCATACACACTCGTTCACCCACACACACACATGCACTATGGCCAATTTAGTTAATCAATTCCCCTATAGCGCATGTGTTTGGACTGTGGGTGACACCGAAGCACCCGGAGGAAACCCACGCCAACAATGAGAGAACATGCAAACTCCACACAAAAAACACCAACTGACCCAGCCGGGACTGGAATCAGCGACCATCTTGCTGTAAGGCCACAGTGCTAACCACTGAGCCACCCTGCCACCCATATTATCAAATATATAACTCAGAAAAAAAAATTTATTTGTAATCTATAACTGATTACATTTTATAAGTAATCTACCCAGCTCTGACTTTACGGCACATATATATATACATACATACACATAAATGCTTTTATTCATATTTATGAATTCACTCATTATTAAATTTGATTTCCATCCACAGGGCATGAAATCCCAGTGTCATTCAGATCTGACCAGCCTGGCCTGTATGAGCAGTGGGTAGTGTTTGACTTCAATACGAGACCTGTACTTCGACAAAAACTAAAGGTCAGAGTTGGAGAGGATGATTGTCAGGCAGCTCCAGCACCGGAGGCACTATTAGAAAACCCAGAAGCTGCCTGCAATCTTGAGCCTTGGAATGAGGAAAGCATGACAATCATTCCTTTTGTTGAAACAGAAAAAGCACAGAGAGACCTACTAAACAGATACCAACTCATCATGATGAACCAGCAGATGAACGGTTTGATTAACCGTGAGAATTATAAATGGAGCATGCACAATTTTTTATACCAGGAGGAGAAGGTAGTCGGTGAACTGCTTTCCAGGTATGCATGTTTTAATATATATCATCAAGCCGAAAATTATTTGTACTCCTGGCAAATTCTGACTTTTAGTCACTTTTATTCAACCTGCAAGTTAGTAGTTTTTTGGGTTTTTTTTGCTTTTTTGACCGGAAATGACCCAGGCTTCTCCCAAAAGATAATAAGATGATGTACAAGAAGCATCATTGTAAAAAAATATTCAGCTTTTATTTACTTTGGAACAAAAAATGGCAGTCAGAATTTGCCAGAGATATGAATCATTTAGTGCTAAATTATTTTAAATTTAGTTTTTTTTTTTTTTTTTTTTACATTTTATTGTTATTTTAATAATAGTATATGCAATATCCGAATTGCAAAGAGGTGGGATAAATAAAACGTATTTTCTGTGTCAAGCATTAATGTGTTAGATACCAATTTAGATGGGACCTTAGTATCCACACTCTCAGAAAAAATGGTGCAATGTTGTACCCTAGAAGATAGAAACCCTTGTCACTGGGGCAGTATCTTTTTATAGGACAGAATTGTACCATAACACAAAGAAACTAATTTGTACCATTGCAGTTTGTACCTTTAAGCACACGATTTGTACCATGGGAAACCAAAATGTACCTTCGGTTTTTAAAACCTGCAGATACAATATTGTGCCTTCATCAAAGGTACAAATCTGATCGATGAAGGTACCACTGCAGTAATAAGACACTTTGTACCTTAACAGTCAAATGTGTTCCTTCAAGAACTATTTAAGGCATTTTGCTTTATCCAAAATGTGTCAATTTATTTTCACTAAATATAAAACATCAAATACATTTTTAAACAATGTTTTTTTTAAACAGTTTCTTTTTGTGTAAATGACCCTTTTCCATTTACAATAAAGAATACTTAAACATTAATCAAAAGATCTATTTTTTGCTAAACATTTCACATCTCTTTTCACCAAATTGTTACATAAATACATTCTCCCATGTACAATACACAACATGCTTTTCTCCAATTTCCACAATACCTTTGTAATCACTTAAAACTTCATTTAATTTACTTAATTTTAAAAATTGAAATCGAATTATGCATTGTAACAAGATATAATGTCCGGTTAGTTTTACAATAGTAAAATGTCTGCATCAACACTTTGCATATGCATGACGTTTGCCAGCTCACGTGCGTAGCGGAAAGCAAACGCCAAAAGGTGCAGATATTAATAATGAAAATGTATTTATCAGAAAATCTAATATTTATTAAAAATGCCTTGAATGTTTAGTTTACAATAGCTATAGTTTTGTTTTACCAGTTGTTTTGTATTATAGAACTTAATAATCATTGTTTATGACTTTCTTTAAACATGCTTTTAAATGATGATTCTTGTTTTAATATGGAAATTATTCATAAAATCACTTTGCCTTTACACTAATATTTATTTTCATAGATATTGTAATAAAGAAAAAGTTGTCCAACACTCACATACCTTTTTGTGAGAACAATTGTGTACCTTAATTTCAAATGTACCATAAAAGGTACAGAACAGTATCATAGAAGGTTCTTCTGTACCAAATAAGGTACAACTTTTACAAAGGTACAAAAAAGTTTCCTAAGGAACATTATTTGTACCACAGTGTACCTTTTTTCTGAGAGTGCAGTATCTGTTATGATATAGGCTAAAACAACAAGTGCAAAAGTAAACACTAATAGCAGTTGTCGAGACTAGAAAGGAAAATGACAACAGCCAACAAAACTCTGAATATCTGCAGAGGTTTTCACTCATTTAAAGTGCTTTAAAGTCTAAATGATTGCACCTTGATAGAGTTCTTTCTTTAGCCTGAGTTAGATTTAATTACATACTATAATGAAATGATTTTTTCAAATAACTTCAAATAGATATAAGAGAAATGTTACAATGCAACAAAAATAAACAACAATTGCATATTTTTTCCAGTCTTGTCCTAATATCTAATGGCTTATTTCCACTGAGTGGGACGATTCAGTGTAGTATACAGTACAGTATGATTCAGGACAGGTAACCCTAATCAGGATTGTGTCCGTATGACAGAAAGCTGAAATCAGCGTCATTTGTTAGGTGTGGTGTACACCAGAAAGTAGCGATCTAACCGATCGAAGGGCTGTTCACATACTGCGTCGGTTATGTGCTCAATATCGTTATTTCAAGAGTTCACACTTGACGATTGATTATAAAGCATGTTTGGCATGCTGTCCTGAGAGAGAGCTCATAAGATCCTCGAGCCCAGGGCTCCCTGTGAGAGTTGATCTACCTGAGCTCAAATTCCCCTGCTGTTTGAAGCTAGAGAACTATTAGGGATTGTTGTGTAGAGAAAACTTCACTAAAAGCACGTCTATATTTCTGATTTGGATTAGTCAATTAACTTAAGTTGCATGTTTTTGGATGGTTGGAGGAAACCGGGGAACCCGGGGGAAACCCACGCAAGAATGGGTAGAACATGTGAACTCCGCACAGAAACCTCAGCTGGCATGGTAAGGACTAGAACCAGTGATGTTCTTGCTGTGGGGCAACAGTGCTAACCACTGGGCTGCCGTGCCACCCATCTAGGAAAGGAAAAGGAGTATGGGTGGATGGGGGGATTCTTCAAAACGAAGATGACTATGGTTATGGAACTTTTTTGGTATGGTTATTTATGGAGACTTAAGAATCGTCTGATTGGTGAATCATAAATTGGATAATGTGGGACCAGCTGCAAGCAATCATACAGTAAGCACGTGATCATCTCGAAATGAGTTCATAAAAAAAACTTCACTTAAAATGTAGGTGTGCACTAAAAGAGAGAGGAAGTGGCGCCCCTTGTGTTTTACACTCATTTTTAGACTTGACATATGAACATCCCTGTAAACAACAATAATAATAGAGGACATAAAGCAGATCCTGTTCTTGCTTTTGGCATGTGGATGGTATTCTAACAATGAAATTGTGTATCACATAAGTGATTGATTTTTAGACTAGATACAAAGTTTGATTGACCTCTCCAGAAACCACAATTGTTTGAGACTCAAAATTGTTTGGACTTGTGATCTGGTTTCCTTTAAATGCACGTTAGCTAGGGGAACCTGAAAAATGCAGTTTTCGTTTGAATCAAATGTTAGACAAAAGTTAATAAACATATGTAAAATTTCAGGGCTTCTTCCACATATGAAATTCAATCATAAGCTTGATTTAAACACTTAAGGAAAATTTGATGTTTTCCTATTCAAAGACATAGGAGCGGCTCTTGCATACTTGAGAGGTGTTTCAGAGATGGCCGCTGAATAAAATGACTTGCCTTAAAGGAGTTTTTACCGAATTATACCACTCAGTGGAAATGAGCCATAAGTCCAGTTGAATTTGAATATGGCATTTTATAACAATTTAAACACATAAATGCACTTTCTTTCCAGATTAAGTCTACGAGGGACTGTGCAGCTGAAAAATGAGTTGTCTGATGACAGGTTTGGAATGAAATGGGCTCACCCGGGTGAACTTTTTGCTGCTGTGCCTCTGTCTCAGCCACTCACACCTGATGCTCCTCAAGGTTTCATTGTGAAAAGACATGCCATCAGATCTCTTGTTCGTGTTGTGAAGAACAATGAATATTGTGGGCCTATTTATGAAGCTGAGTTTCTGAAAGATGCTGCCTCCGAGACACAAGTACATCTCCAGCTTTCCAAACGCTGCTGTGCTGCCCTTAACCTGCAGAATGGAGAGGAATATGAGATGGAGGTCCAGTTTCAAGTCAATCGTCTGTGGTTCTGCGAGATGCACAAGGCAATTGATGATCTCCCGAGGATGGACAAAGTGTTGCCTGATCTGAAAAATGCTCACCTCAGTATTTCTTTCCAGTCAGATGAAGGAGAGTTCAATGAGAAGCAGCAAGCAGCAATGGACTTTGTCTTGGGTGTGTCAGACAACAGAAGCAGCATCCCACCCTTGTTGATTTATGGACCTTTTGGGACTGGCAAAACTCGAACCCTTGCAAAGATGGCACAGGCCCTTGTACAGCAGCCACACAACAAAATCTTAATTTGCACACACACAAACAGGTAAGACATAATTCAGTGCCACTTTAGAGAACTCTCACATACGTAAATCTGAGGATATATATATAAAAAATACATATTTTCAACCATTAGAATAACAAATATTTATGTAAACAGATATGTTTGCAATATTTTAAAATATGTATTGCATATGTGCTCATACAGTGCATCTGGAAAGTATTGATAGCGCTTCACTTTTTCCACATTTGTTTAAGTTACAGCCTAATTCCTAAATGGATTAAATTAATTTTTTCCTCAACATTCTACACACAATCCCCCATAATGACAATGTGGAAAAGGAGTTTTTGAAATTGTTGCAAATTTATTAAAAATATAAACCTGTAAAATCAGATGTAAATCAGTATTCACAGCCTTTGGCTCTAAACTGAGCTCAAGTACATTCTGTTTCCACTGATCATTCTGGAGATGTTTCAGCAGCTTCATTGGAGTTCACCTGTGCTCAATTCAGCTGATTGAACATGATTTGAAAAGGTATACACCTGTCTATATAAGTCCCCACGGTTAACAGTGCATGCCGAAGCACAAACCAAGCATGAAGACAAAGGAATTGTCTGTAGACCTGTGAGACAGGATTGTCTCCAGACACCAGGGGCCTCATGTACGAAGATTTGCGTGGAAATCTTACTAAAACATTGCGTACGCACAAAGCTGTAAATGTGCGTACACAGAAAATAATTCAGATGTATGAAACACTGCTTACGCCGAATCTCACGCATATTCTTTTGTACATCCGAATGAAGGTGAAACTGAGCGCAACATGCACGAGCACAAAACCCCTCCCTGCCTCCTCCCCCGTATGAATATGCTAATGACTATGCTAATGGAAAAACCCAACGAAAAAGCAAAGGCAAAAGCAAGCAAAAAGAGAAACTTTGAACAGAATGTGAATTGTAGGTGCTGCTTTCGGAGGTAGACTGGAGAAAAGCGGTGTTATTTGCAAGTTTGTTCTCCGGAATTAACAACAAAAGAAAAAATAGAGTGGGAGAGTTTAGCTGATGCGGTTAACACAGTTGGGTCTGAACATCGCACTGAGTGCATTAACAAAAGAAATAGTGTGGTTTATATCTGTAAAATGTTGCAATACCCTTAACTGTCTCAGTGGCGCATCTCGTAAGATGCATGTGATCATGTTTTGACACGTTCGAGCATGAACTCGGCTCGAATCCGTCTGATGAACTCTTTCTTCTTTTTTTCCCCGCTACATATCAGATTTTGCCCACTATTTATCACGAGAAAGACTAGTAGGAATCATTAATAAGTTTGTGCATCATTTTATTTGCACATTTATTGAATGGAAATGTTTCTGATTCACGCATGCAAATTCATCTTCAGATAGTGTCTTTATAGCAATGTGTGTGCGGTAGATCGCTCAGATTACATTGGGGAAACAGGCGACTGCTGCAAATTGTGCTTTAATGTTTGGCTGGTCAACTGTATGGTATGGAAACCTTACATACCTACTAGATGAACCCGTCTCATACAGCTGCCATTGCAAGGCTCAGACACTTTGTAGAGAAGAAATATAACACAACTGCCTCTAGGAGTCGCCAATGGAAATAAAACAGACACGCACAAAAAATGTGCGTACGCCAGCCAGAAAGCTGCCGTGAAGCTGCGCACATTCCCACGTTCAGTTCATTGTTAGTAAATCCAAACGTGAGCGATTCTGAGCGTGAAACCTGGCGTATGCAAATTTTTTGTGCGTACGCAGCGTTGATACATGAGGCCCCTGGACTCTTACTAGAGCTGGCCGGCCATCTAAGCTGAGTGATAGGGGGAGAAGGGGCTTAGTCAGGGAGGTGATCAATAACCCGATGGTCCAACCCAAGCTCATTTTGGAAACGTAGCCCCGCGGACGTTTCTGGAGACCGCGATTTACGTGGCCGGAGGTACGTAAAGGCCGCGTTTAGTTTTTTTCGAGCAAACGTTGCGGGGCGGTGTGGCGCCGCTCCGCCCCTCCTCTTCGCGCTTGCTGGCCGACAGCTCGCCTCCGAGTGGAGGGCTTTCCCGATGCAATCAGTTTGTCCGCTTAGCTCACAGCGTTGTGTCGGCGGAGCGGAGGCCCCAGAGGAGGAGGAGGAGCCGGCTGCGGTGGACGACGACCGGGATCGAGTCCGGGGAACAGCAGGTTCCAGAAATCAGGTAAGACGAAAAACGGAATCCGAAAAATAAGGGTGAGAAAGCGGCGGGATCCGAAAACACGGTCGAAATCGAAGACGAGGGCTTTTGCTTTTTTTTTTTTTGCTTTTTTCTGGACGGCTTTTGCGAACCGTCGCTCGGGTTTAGAGAAGGACAACCAACTGTGCAGCAATCCACCAATCAGGCACCTGTATGGTAGAGTGGCCAGACGGAAGACACTTCTTAGTAAAGGGCACATAGCAGCCCAAAAGGCATCTGAAAGACTTTCAGACCATAAGAAACAAAATTCTCTGGTTGATGGACTGAATGCCAGGCATTACGTTTGGAGAAAAGCAGGCAGCGCTCATCAGCAGGCTAACAGCATCCCTACAGTGAAGCATGGTGGTGTTGGCATCATGCTGTGGGGATGTTGTTCAGCAGCAGGAACAGGAAGCCTAGTCAGGATAGAGGGAAAGATGAATGCAGCAATGTACAGAGACATCCTGAATGAAGACCTGCTTCAGATACTCTTGACCTCAGACTGGGGCGACGCTTCATCTTCCAGCAGGACAGTGACCCAAAGCACACCGCCAAAATATCAATGAAGTGGCTTTACAACAACTCAGTGAATGTCCTTGCGTGGCCAAGCCAGAGCCCAGACCTAAATCCTATTGAACGTCTCTGGAGAGATCTGAAATGTACCCGTTGCTTCCCATCCAACCTGATAGAGCTTGAGAGGTGCTGCAAAGAGGAATGGGCAAACAATCCCAAAGACAGGTGTGCAGAGCTTGTGGCATCATATTCACAAAGACTTGAGGCTGTAATCGCTGCCAAAGAGGCATCAACAAAGCATTGAGCAAAGGCTGTGAATTTTTCAGCTTTTTTATTTGTAATAAATTTTCAACAATTTTAAAAAACTCTTTTTTCACATTGTGATTATGGGGGATTGTGTGTAGAATGTTGAGGAAATAAATGAGTTCAATCCATTTTGGAATAAGGCAGTCACAGAAAAACATGTGGAAAAAGTGAAGCGCTGTCAATACTTTCCAGATTCACTGTAAATGACATTTTTTATATCTGTGACATCCAAACATAAACTTGTTTGTTATGTATATGTGATTTGTAAATGTTGCCATATATCAGATTTCGAGACCGGCTGTTCCACAAAAGCCAAGGTTTCCATGATTCATGTTGAATAGTATTGTTTGGGTTTTGCTTTTTGGCACACCAAAATATAAGCTGGTCTTTTTCAACAGGGCAGCAAACTTTCATAAATACATTTTAAATGCAATTGCATTAGTTAAATCAATCAGTAGAGTATGGAACAAGCATAATTACATAATTATTTGATTATATCAACTCAAATGATCTTTTTTTTCTCCGAAATGCAGTTCTGCTGATCTTTATATAAAAGCTCATTTCCACGAATATGTAAGGAATGGCCAGCTTCACGCCAGACCTCTGCGAATAAAGGCAATGGAAATAAAGCTCGCATCCACCGATTTCATCACTCTACAGTACTGCCATTTATCAAGAGAAGCCAATTGCTTTGAGTTTCCTGATAAAGCAGTTTTAGATTCCACAAGAATCGTCATAACAACAACATCTCTGGCTCGTTTCTTCAACGACATGAAGCTTCCTGAAAACTACTTCAGCCATATTCTGATTGATGAAGCGTCTCAGATGTTGGAGTGTGAGGCTCTTATGGCACTTAGCTTAGCGGGTAACAATACACGTGTGGTTTTAGCAGGAGATCACATGCAGATGGGACCCAAGCTGTTCTCTGTGAGGCCAGACAAATGTTCTGAGCACACCCTGCTCAATCGCCTCTTCTATCACTACCAAGCCGAAAACAGCGATGTGGCCAAACAAAGCCGGATCATTTTCAATGAAAACTACCGCTCCACAAAAGACATTGTGGATTTTGTATCAACACATTTTTATGTTGGAAGGAGTGATGTGATCAAGGCTAGAGGAAATGTGCCGTCTCATCCCCAACAACATGCTTTGCAGTTTCATCATGTAAGAGGAGAATGCTGTCTGGACCCAATGAGCATGTCCTGGTTCAATGCAGAACAAATTGTAAGAGTCGTTCACATTCTGCAAGAAATAATGAAGGAATGGCCTCAAGAGTGGGGTGCTGCAGATCCAGAATCAGTCTGTGTCCTATCTCAAGGCAGACAGGTATCAATCCTAGTACTAGTTTCAAGTTTGCTTTTCCCCTATTTTTACCGAATTGATGTCATTGTGTTTATACCTGATTATTCTGCCTTTGATATTTCAGGTGTTGGAAATCAGGTATAGACTGCGTTTGCTTGGACTGCCTCGTTTCACTGTAGAGAATGCTGAAAATGTGCAAGGTAAAGATTACTTGAATCTAAGGTCCTGTCTACACTGTCAGGTCTTGATTTTTTGTCTACATCTGATTTTTTTTTCTGTCCGTTTACATGTTCTTTTAATTGTGAACCATATCCGATTAATGTGTTTATACTTGCTAAATAATTTACGATGTCGCGCACGTTCAAAGGCGGGTTCTGGCATCTGCGCCACACTAGCCACGATGGAAGAAATTGTCTTGCTTTTAGCTCTGCGAAATATGCGAAGTTCACCCAACTTTAAAATGATTTTGAGGCGGTGGAGGGAAAGGGCCGTCATGGTAGCTTGAGCGTATGTTTTAAATATGGTGTCCTCCACCATTCAGAGGAATTTGTGGGTACAAGAGAGATCTCTGGTCTGGTGGGAGCAAATTGTGGTGACTGACCACTTTCCTTCTCCATGATTCCTCTGTTGTTGTTGTTGTTGTTGTTTACCTCGTCAGCGTCCACGTCGCTCTTCCTTCTACGTCACTAAAACGCAGAGAAGTACCACATTGTCAAGTTTAATGACGTACAAAATGGAACGCCTTAATAAATTTGATCTGCCTGTTCACATGATGGTCGCATTGTCACATATTCGATTTATATCTGCTTTATTTCCACATATGAGGGAGGCCTGAAACCGATGAATATCCGAAAGCATGCGTTTTTTTCGTGTTTACACGCTCATAGAACAGATCGGATGTGTGTCACATATGAGCAAAAAATCGGAATTGGGTCACATTTAACTGGTAGAGTAAACAAGGCCTAAAGGCAACCCAAGCTCATTCGGAAAAAATAGCCCCGCGGATGTTTCTGGGGGCCGCGATTTACGTGGCCGGAGGTACGTATGGCTGCATTTAGTTTTTTTCAAGCGAACGCTACGTGCCGGTGAGACGCCGGCCGCTCCTCTTTGCGCTTCGCCAGCTGGGCTGATGGCTCACCTCCTCCGTGTGGAGGGCTTTCCCGCCGCAACCAGTTTGTCCGGTTAGTTTGTCATGTTACGTCAGCGGAGCGGAGGCCCAGAGGAGGAGGAGCCGGCCGCGTTCGATGACCGGGATCGAGTCCGGGGAAGAGCGCTTCCAGAAATCAGGTTAGACAAAAAACAGAATCCAAAAAATAAAGCGAACGAGTTCATAACGAGGCGACAATGCGGTGAAATCCGAAAACGCGGTCAAAAACAGATGAGGACTTTTCTTTTTTTGCACGGTTTTTGTAAATCGTTGCTTGGGTTTAGGGAGAAAGGAGGAGGTTGGCCGGGTCGGCCGATTGGCTGGCCACCCATTCAAGTTCAGTCATTCAGCCAGTTGGTCAGTCAGACAGACGGTCGCTCGACAGCGGCCTCCGGTGGCTTTTTACGCGAGAACAGCGCGTGCGCGCAAGAGGCGTTCAAGACGCGAAAAAGCTCGCAGAGTGGCCTCTCGCGGATTCACAAAAACAAAAACTGCACAAATACGTACCTCTTGGGACGTATTTCACAGTCTCCAGAAACGTCCGCGGGGCTACGTTTCCAGAATGAGCCTGGGTTGCTTAAAGGACCTAGTATACTTCAAAAGAAATCGAAAGAAGAATTGGAATTACATCATTTTGAACAAAATTCGTCGCGACAGCTCACCAAAGCAAACATTTGGGGTAATTCCTTTTGGCTCGTACACACCTTTAAGCTACCATTGATAGGAATTGGTGACTGTGTTCTGAAACTCTTTGCCCTTCTATGACCTGTAATTGTTTCGTTTCTCATATCCTTGGAGAGGGCTACACGGTGGCTCAGTGGTTAGCATTGTCGCCTCACAGCAAAAATGTCACTGGTTCAAGTCCAGGCTGGGCCCATTTTTGTGTAAAGTTTGCCCGTTCTCCCCGTGTTGGTCTGGGTTTCCTCCAGGTGCTCCGGTTTCCCCAACAGTCCAAAGACAAGGAATTGATGAACTAAACTGGCCGTAGTGTATGAGTGTGTGTGAATGTAAGTGTGTATGGGTGTTTCCCAGTACTGGGTTGCAGCTGGAAGCGCATATGCTGCATAAATTTTATGCTGGAATAGTTGGCAGTTCATTCCACTGTAGCGACCCCTGAAAAATACGAGACTAAGCCAAAGAAAAATGAATGAATGAATTCATAGAGGTCAAAAAAACAACACCACCAAGTTAGCAACATAAATGCACTGGAGGGTGGAGTAGCAGAGCTGGTATAGATGTATATGCACATATACGATCGATCACAGAGAATTTTTTAAGACTCTGAGGTGTTCACACCACTACATTTGGTGTCTGTCCATGGTAAATGGAAAGCAACGTAAATAATTTAGCACAATGCACAGGCTAGAGGAGGCTGACAAACATTTACGAAACTGTTCTACTCTGACCATCGTTGTTTAGGGGTACACGCAAACAGTTGCCTTTAAAACAAAGATTGAAAAAGAACTTAATGTGAAGTATATTGGGGCCTTTATGCTATTCCTTGATTACATACAAACATGTATGCATGTGATTTACAGTGTACTGCCTTTCCCATTTTTTCCAGGAAAGCAGTTCAGAGTAATTGTGATTTCCACTGTGCACACCAAGGACAGCCTATTGGAGACGGACAGGACCTGTCTTGAGTTTTTCAATGACATGCGAGTCCTGAACACCATCATGACAAGAGCCCAATCACAAATATTTGTTGTTGGAGATGCCGCTGCACTTTCATGCCATCAGTTCGGTATGTGCTGGAGACTTTGGAGAGCATACATAGAGGAATGCATCAACAAGGAAAGTTGCCACGACCTTACTCTGGATTCTTTAAAGCAAGATCTCCTGGAGATTTCTAAACTCTGCAGGAGCGAGGATGAAGAGAACAGCGATAGTGAATCAACTACATCTGAACTACCGGACACTGAAGACCTAATACTTCAAGAGCTTCTTGATGAGAGCAAAGAAATCAATGTTGCTTTGACAGAGGAAGGATTATTTCCAGTTTTTCAAAATCAGGAAGCATTCAGTAGTGCAAATAACCAAGTTGCAGAAGTATATTATGAAGAGCCTATGTTTACTAGCTCTACTGTCCACAAACAGTGTGAGATAGTCAAAGAAGGTTATGACAGAGGATATGCAAAGCCACTTGACGAGTCCACTCTGAGAATAGACATCAAGGGTAGAGCGAACATCGGAAGGGCATTCCCTGGAGATAAAGTAACGGTGGAGATCCTGAGTGCAACATCCCATCCTCCAATGGGAAGAGTGATCAACATCCTTGAAAGTGCAGATACTGTCAAGGAATTTGTCTGCGCACTTGAAAGACATGACAATCAAGTAATGACGCCTATAAACAAATGCATCACCAAGATCTTCACACCCTTTTGGAAAGACAAACCAAACCACATTGCTGTAAGGAATCCTGAGAGCCTCAAAGTAGAGAAGTTTATCAAAATCAACGAAGAAGCTCACAGGAAATCTCTCTTTATTGTCAAAGTCCTTAGTTGGAGAAACGTTTTCAGATATCCTTTGGGGATTGTCGTAGGTGTGCTTCCTAAAATAGCAACTTTAGATGATGGATTGCATGTACTCAGCATTGAGTACCAGTTGAGAAGGACACTTTCCTCATCTCTGAGAAAGCAGATGCAATACTTACAACGTCTTGATATTTTCGAAAAAGGACGAAGAGATTTTCGCATGCTCCCAACCTTCACAGTTGATCCCGCACATTCGCAAGATCTCGATGATGCAATAAGTTTGCAGGATTTTGGTGAGTACCTTGAAATAGGAGTTCACATTTCTGATGTTGCAAGCTTTGTGGCTAAAGATAGCGAACTGGACAAATTTGCCAGACAGCTGTGTACTACATTCTACCCTCGTGAGAAGGAGCCAATATACATGTTTCCCAAAGAACTGAGCACCAATTTGTTAAGTTTAATCCCTAACCAGGACAGACGAGCAATCTCATTGATTATAGAAGTGGATGCACAGACTAATCGCATAAAGAGAAGATTTATCTGCAAGTCTGTGATTCACTCCAACAGGAAATTTTCCTACGATGAAGTTGAGGACATTCTTGAAAATGGTGAGCCGCTTTCCGACCTGCTTGAAATCTGTCTTGTAAAAGTGTCGAACTTTGCTGAGGTTCACCGAAGATACAGAAAGCAGGATGACTGGTGCTACAAGATGCCAGATGAGGATGTGACCCTTGGAAGAAGGAGATCTCACCAAATGGTGGAAGAGCTGATGGTCATGTTTAACCACATGGTTGCCGAACGTCTTTTATCTGATGGTGCAACAAGAAGCAAAACTCCATTGAGATGCCAGGACAGGCCTCAAACAGACAAACTCATTGAGATTTTTGACAAAAACGCAGCCTTGATTCCGCTGTCTGTTCACTTCTCAAGTCAAGCTCATGAACTGAATAAGCAAGGTTTGATCCAGCACAACCCTCAGACTGACTCAGACACGTTCCCTGTGTTAAAATCAATCCTCAGATGCCTGAAGTCAGCAGCAGAGCAGGAAAACATCTACAAAATAATTGACTTTGTTGCAACTGATGACATTCATCCTCAGCTTCTGCCTTTTGCTGTTGCATTTAGGCGGTTGTTTCACAAGGCGTGCATTCAGCGCTCAAACTCAACGCATGTCTCAAGAATAGGGCACTATGATTTAGATCTTGACAGCTATACATGGGCCTCATCTCCAGTTCGCCGATACTTAGATGTAATTGTGCAGCGCCTTCTTCATTCTGTGATTGACAAGACAGATGTTAAGTACACAACTCTAGACATTAACCTGTCTTGTTTGGAATTCTCCAGGAAAAATGATCAACAGTCGGCCTATGAGAGGAAGGCAAATGCTCTGCATTTCGCATTAAAACTGTCAAGCCAAAGTGAAAGGAAGGTGGCTTATATTGTGGAGCTCAATCCATTAGGGACAAACTTCAAAGTGTCCTTTCCACTTAACAGATCCTCTATATCAGAAAACTTAGACATTATGAGCAGGGATCTTCTGCTGGCTGTTCAGCCAGAGTTTGATGTAACAAACAACAGCATGATCCTGAAATGGGAGCGAAGGATATATTCATTCTCCAATTCTCACATCCATGCTGAAGTGAAGCAACAAAACCCAAACTCAGTTATGGCCTATGTCCCTGCAAAGACCTGGAAATGCATTGCAGATGCTATCAGAGAACAAAACTGGAATGCCATTTTTCCTCTTATTGAGGAACTTCAACGCAACTCTGGCATCAATGCAAGACAATTTCACGAAACACTGAGTGCTTCAAAATGCACGAAAAATTATGACCCCTTGCATGCTGAGCATTATGCTGAACTGTATCTGAGAATTAAGCAAGGTGAGGCGGTCGAAGTGCAGCTTGGTGCATCCACAGCTCGTGGTTTAATGACTCCATCGATTCAGCTGTTTGTTGTGCATCCAAAGTTTGAGATTTGCGTGGAGCATGTAAGAGATCCAGTCAAGTGTTTTTCTGAATACGCACTAAGCTCATCAAGGAGTTCATACAACTTGTACAAGGATTATCAGGCAATATGGAGACCTATGTGCGAGATGGAGTCAGCCTCCAGCGCTGTGGCTGAAAATGAGAGCATTCTTATTGTAGATGTGCCCTTGAAATGGGAAAACTCCAATCCGAAGAGGCTACAGGGGTTTTTTCTGCTCCCGCTTGACAAGAAATCTCAGTGGTCAATAGACTGTGATCTCAGAAACAGCTTCCTATGCATTCGAACGAGGATTCAGAAACAGAGTAGCCCATTTCTGGAGAGCGCTCAGAACACAGCGCTCATGGATATTCCTTCTTTCACTTGGGTAGTTCATGGTGTGATTACAGAAGCTGAAGAAACAGAGTCCAAAGAATCAACGAATCAAGAACCAAAGAGTTTGCGAATTGATTTTCTGATTAATCACATGCCCATGACAAACATTCCAGAACAAATATTCCACGAGAGGACGAGATTTACGCTGGAGCTGATTCCAAAGCTTCTGCCAGACGTGTAAGTTTGCAAATAATATACCTTACAACTATAGTTTAAAATGCTAAATAATACAGAGTTAATCATTGCAAATTTATTTGTGAATACATTGTATAGTTTAATACGGTTGAAGATAGAAGTATTAGCCTTCCTTTGAAATTGTAATTCAGTAAGAAAAAATTGTGAAGTTTCAAGAGTTTACACTTAGCTCATGATTTATCACATAGCTTGTTTGGCGTGCTGTCCCGGGAGAGAGCCCTGAGCTCAAGGGATCCTTGGGCCCAGGGCTTCCCCCTTTTCAAGGGGCGAGGGGAAATTCCCCCGCTGCTAAGGCCAAGGTGAACTTCCTGAGAGTAAGACATTAGAAAAAAGATTTAGGCTTATTTTATCTATAGTATGGAGCATATATGGACAGTGGGAGGAAACCAGGGAACCCGGGGGAAACCCACGCGGACACGGGGAGGACATGCAAACTCCGCACAGAAATACCAGACGGCCCAGCAAGGACCCGATGCCATTGGTATTCTTGCTGTGAGGCAACCGTGCAAGTCACTGGGCCACCGTGCCGCCCATTCTGGATAAAGGTGGAAGAAGGGAAGGAGAGTGGGTTTCTTCCAGGCGAAAATAGTTGTAGAAAGGAAATGAGGATATATATAGTGACTTGGGATCCTTTAATTAGAAGATCATGATTAGCTAATGTGGGCCAGCTGGGCCAATCATGAGCATGTGCTCCTCTCGAAATTAGTGTAGTATTAAACTTCACTTAGCAAAACACAGAGGACTATGAAAAATAAAAATGTACATATTATTTCTTTAGATTGGCTATAGAACAAATCACTGTGGGCGTCACGGTGGTGTAGTGGGTAGCTTAATCGCCTCACAGCAAAAAGGTCACTGGGTTAAACCTTGGTTGGGTCAGTTGGCATTTCAGTGTGGAGTTGTCCGCGTGGGTTTCCTCTGGGTACTCCGGTTTCCAAAGTCCAAACACAAGCGGGGGGACATGTAGGTAAAATGAATAAGCTAAATTGGCCATAGTGGATGTGTGTAATTTCAAGAGTGTATAAGTTTCCCAGTGTTGGTTTGCAGCTGCGTAAAACATATGCTGGATAAGTTGGTGGTCCATTCCACTGTGGCCTTATTATTAACCCTGATTATTAAAAAGAAAATGAATGAACGAATAAACAAACCACTGTTGTCCAATGACCTACCAAAACTTATCTAAGGGTGCTTTCACACCTACACTTTTGTTTGGGAACGTGTCTCGTTTGCCCAGTTAGCGCGGTTCGTTTGGCATATGTGAACAGGGCAATCGCGCTCTGTTCCGCGCCAAAGTAATCGCTCCGAGATCGCTTGAATGAGGTGGTCTCGGCTCGATTGAAACGAACCCTGGAGCGGTTCGATTGCAGTGAGAAAGCGATCCGATCCGAGCGCGGTTATATCACAGTGTTTTATGGATATGTAATAGGCTTACGGCTATATGAAGAGAGAATTATGAGTAGGGCGGGAAGTTTCGCGAGTCTCCGGATGCCCGCAAACGAGTGATGATCTCCGGGTATTCTCGCGTCTCCCTCCTGGTCCTCAAATAGGCATCGTTGCGCACCCTTCTCACCTCTCCCCACCGCATCTCTCCTCAGACACGTCGCGCGCGTGCACCCTGTTAATCACCACCAAACCAACACCTCACAGCTGAACGGGACGCTGCAAAATAAACACTCTGACCAATGTAAGGAGAGTTTACTCGCACGTGACTTGTTTTAGCTCTTTTGGTCCGATTAGAAACTTTGCAGTGTGAAAGCAAACCGCTCCAAGAGCAAAGAGCAACAATGTAACATTTGTAATCTCTGTTTCAGAACAACTGAATCGATTCACAGGTGTGAAAGCACCCTAAGTTAGCCTAATTGCAAAAACTAGTATCTTACAAAATAACTAGTAAAATCGTATATACTGTCATCATAGCAAAGACAAAATAAACTAGTAAGAAATTAGCACTTGAGAAATATTTAAAAATTTCACAAGCTAATAACGTTGTCTTCAACTATACCCTTAATTTATATAAGCACTTGGGATGTGTGATATATAGAGCCAGACAGAATTAACACATTCGATAACAATTACTTGTAAGATTTACAATGTAAACCCAATTGGAACCACTTGATCAATTGTTTTGCTTGGTTATTTCTTTTGCAGGCGCAAAGAAAATGCAATTGACAGTCTAACCAAAGCCAACCAGCTTGTAAAAAACATTGCCATGGGCAGGAGAATCACTTCGGACAGAGGTACTACAGTTTCACATCCACTGTTAATTTGAATGCATTTAGCATTATACTCTAAATTAGTGTTTTACTAGTCATCTTCATCAAATATATCACTTCAGAAGTAGTTCAATTTTGTTTAAAAGTAAACTGTATCTCTCCAAAAGGATGTAAAATACCAAATCAGAATACAGGCAGGTTTGAGATCAACAGTTATCATCCTTCTGGGTTATCCCATCTAAACAACAGCCAAAGTAAAGCAATAAGAGAAGCACTGACTAACCCATTCACACTTATCCAAGGACCACCGGGTGAGCCTCTCTTTGTTTTCTCAAAGTTCATTGAAATTCTCAAAGTCCTTTTTTGATTACTTTATAATTTATCTTCATTTTCTCAGGGACTGGAAAAACTGTTGTTGGTGTCCATATTTTGTACTGGCTGCACAAGAATATCCAACAGCTCCAAGCTTCTGGTTCAAAGAAGAGAGCTATTCTGTACTGTGGCCCGTCAAATAAATCTGTTGATGTTGTTGCAGGTAATGCAAAATTTTGTTTATAAAGCTTTTATATTATTTGTATTCATGCATTGTGTTGTGAAAGGGATGCTATGCAAACCGGGGTAGTTCCAAATGCAGCTTTATTAAAAGAATGGTCAATCAGGCAAGGGTCAAATACCAGTATAAACAGTGTAGTAGACAATCCAGAAGCAAATCCAATAAAACAGGCTAAAGGTTCGGGGCAGGCAGAAAAGGGTCAAAACACAATAATCAGTCCAAAAGTCAAAAACACAGGCAACAAGGAAAAATGCTTACGTAAGGACAGCAACAGCTTAACAATACTCAGCAACATGTGTGTGGAACAGAGGGGTTTAAATAGTCCAAATAATCATTGTGTGAGTGGCTTCAACTGTGAGAGTTTAATCAGTCTGGATCTTGAACCGGTTGTGTGTGTGTGTGTGGCCTGACTGGGTGTTGTAGTCCATAACATGGCAGATATGTAGTTCAAGGAGTGTGAATGTTTACCAGTGACCTCTGGTGGTAAGCGATCGCTGGTAATCATGACACATTGGCTTGCTTTTTGTTTATTGGAAGAGTAAAAGAAGTGCTTGGAATCATTGGGACTGTGGATATCATCATAATAGAACATCATTTTTTTTAGTTTATTTATTTCTAGAGGACATTTAAAAACAGCCAAAGACCAAATCAAAGTGGCGTACACCAGATGGATAAAATAGATCAACAACTAATTTGAAGGTAAAAACTAAATAAACCACATACTAAGCCATCACATAGTAAAAACCAATAAAAAAAACCTACTGTAAATAAAAAATTGGCTGACCAATGAGATTGGTGATTTTGTTTACATACCTTGAGCTGCAGAAGTTACAGTAAACTTTACTTGGTGGCGCTCAAGCACAAAAGGCTCTAGCTGAGCACATAGGAACTGCAGATCAAATAGGATTAGGTGGTGAGTTTAATTTCACTTCATTTTTTTAATGGCTTGTAACTTTTTCTTGCAAAATCTTTGCCCAGATGTTTGTGTGCTGTGGAGGACGTTTAACAGAAAAGCTTATGCGATGAATACACAAGGACAAAGCAGTTTGTGCTAGAATGAAGACTAACGTGAAATTACCAAGAAATATTTTTTATTATTTATTAAATTGCCCATAACATTTGTATTTATTAACATCCTTAAACACTCCCCTCACAGTAACAGAAAAATAGTAATTATTGTTAGTGTCACAAAAACTGTGCTATTGTGTCATCTGCATGGCCAAGCATTTGCAGATGTATCCACTTGTTAAGTGGTGACGTGTTCGTGACGTGTGTAATACTGTTTCCGGGTCCAAGCCGCCATTCATTTGAGTGCAGAAATCATTCGTTTATGATCACGTTTTATTCCTATCACACATTAAAGTTAATTTTACATAAAGTCATAGTGTACACAACACTCTCTGAGCTTGCTGCATAACAAATACCAAAAATGTTACAATTTATAAAAAAATTATTCACTCTCTGGTCATCGGATATTAGGCATGGACATATATACTGCGATCATGATTTTTCAAGAATATTAAATCGCTTTGTAAACGTTTATTATTACCATTTCACGAGTCTCCCCATTCAGTTGAATAGAGCGCTTGGACCTGGAAGCCGCTTCGCATGACGTCACACTTAACAAGCGGATACCTTCTAGACTTGACAGAAAATAACAAGCTAGTGTCAGAAGCATAAAGTTGCACAGCGCCACCTTGTGTACTGTGTATTTCTGTCGATACTTTAAAGAAAGCAAAAAACCTGTAACCATTGACTTCCATAGAAGGAGAAAATAATACTATAGAAGTCAATGGTTACAGGTTTTCAGCTTTCTTCAAATTTCCTTCTTTTGTAATCATCAGAAGAAAGAAACTCAGTTTGAAACAAGTAAAAGGGAGGGTAAATGTTGACAGAATTTTTCAGTTTTGGTGAACTAGCCCTTTAAACAACTCTCTAAAAGTTTAAATAATAAAGTATTGTGTAGTACCCATGATATCAATATTGTGCATGTTCATTGTCACGATATATTGAATTATTGAATATTGGTGTACAGTTGAAGTCTGAATTATTAGCCCTTCTGTATATTTTTTCCACAATTTGTTTAATAGAAAGATTTTTAGCACATTTATAATCATAATAGTTTTAATAACCCATCCCTAATAACTGATTTATTTTATCTTTGCCATGATGACAGCACATAATATTAGACTAGATATTCTTCAACATTCTTCAACATCAGTTTAACTAGGGTAATTAGGGTAAAGTTAGGGTAATTAAGCAAGTCATTGTATCACAGTGGTTTGTTATGTAGACTATCCAAAACTAATATTGCTTAAAGGGGCTAATAATATTGACTGTAAAATGGGTTTAAAACTATTTAAAACTGCTTTTATTCTAGCCGAAAAAACTAAACAAAACAAATAAGACTTTCTCCAGAGGAAAAAAATATTAGTTATTAAAATATTAAATATTAAATTATTTACATTGCAAAATTCCTGAATCTGTTGGGAAATATTTGACAAAGAAAATTACCAGTAGGGTGAATCATTCTGACTTCAACTGAACATTGAACACTGCAGACATTATTGATTACTGTATGACCTACAGTACTTACAATCATCTTCTTGTCTTTGCTGTGCCTGTATTCGTCCAGCAGATTGTCAGATTGTTGTAGACTATCCAAAACTAATATTGCGTAAATATTGCGTAAGGGGCTAATAATATTGACCTTAAATGGATTTAAAACAATTAAGAACTGCTTTTATTCTAGCCTAAATAAAACAAATAAGACTTTCTCCAGATGGAAAAATATTTTAGGAAATACTGTGAAAAATTCCTGAATCTGTTCAACATCTTTTGGGAAATATTTGAAAAAGTAAACAAACAAAAAAAAGTCACAGGAAGACGAATCAATGTCACTTCAACTGTATGTCTAAATGAGATGATGTGAGACGTCATGTGAGGTTGTTCATCTGAAAATTTATCTTAAAAACTTTAGGACCTGTCCTTTTATACCTACCATATAGTTTTTAAAAATGTCCTGATTCTGTAAAACATGACATTTAATAGGGTGTCCTGACATGACTGCACATGCACAAACACTGTACATACCTGACCGAGGAAGATCACTGCACTTCTAATGGTTTATATAATTGTGTTGCAGGTCATCTCCTACATCTCCGAGACCATCTTAAACCTCTCCGGGTCTACAGTGATCAGATGGAGATGTTGGAGTTTCCGTACCCAGGCTGCAATCTGAAGCTGTCGCGTAACTCTAAAAGAGGAGAAAAACCCAACACTGAGCTCAGGTATTTGACAAATGCTGTCCATTGAGTGTAGATACAAAACACCAGTGTAATATATATATTCAGGGCCGGAGTGGGACTCCTTTTCAGCCCTGGAGTTTCAAGCCTCAGACCGGCCCACCTCAGTTCATGACAGAGTATATTAAAATAAGGTCATTTCCAATTCAGTTTCTAATGACACTATCACGTCTTTTTTTGAGAAAACAGCTGCTTTAGAACTTCAAATGTTCAACAACCCTTGCAGTATTATATGTCTTAACTCTTAACAATAAAAATGTAAAAAATAACATACTCAAAAGAGGAACAAACCCAGGTCGGCGGCATTTTAATCTAACTTGTTAACCACTAGACCACAACAGTTGTATAGTGAAAGGTGACTCTTCTGAGTTATATCATCATTAACCTGCAGGCTGGTTATATATAAAAAGAGCAGAGCTGCAGTAAAATAATGAATAAGAAGACTGTGGTCAAGTAAATAAATAAATTAATTTAAAAAGTGTGACTGCTGAGAGCAACCGATTCTGGAGCTAGGAACACCGGCCCTCAAGGCCAAAAAACGGACCGGCCCACCGGGAATTCTCCCAGTCCTCCCGATTAGCCAATCCGGGCCTGTATATATTTGTGTGCAGAGATTTCAATTTAATTCAAGTTTATTTGTACCTGTATAGTGATTTTCACAATGACAATCATTCCAGTGCAGCTTTGCAAAAAGTGTGCGTTATTACATTACAATCGTAATCAAAAGCGAAGTGGGCTTTACAGCTATCAGTTGTACAGCAGCATAGTTAAATGCACAGTTAAGGAAAATAATGTCCTTTTTGAAGGAATGACAATATACACAGTTGAAGTCAGAATTATTAGCCCCCCTGTTTATTTTTTTTTCCCAAATTCTGTTTAACGGAGAGCAGATTTTTTCAAAACATTTATAATCATAATAGTTTTAATAACTCATTTCGAATAATGGATTTATTTTATCTTTGTCATGATGACAGCACATAATATTGGACTAGATATTCTTCAAGACACTTCTATACAGCTTAAAGTGACATTTAAAGGCTTCACTAGGGTAATTAGGCAAGTTATTGTATGATGATAGTTTGGTCTGTAGACTATCAGAAAAATATATATAGCTTAAAGGGGCAAATAGTTTTGACCTTAAAATGGTGTTTAAAAAATTAAAAACTGCTTTTATTCTAGCCAAAATAAAACAAATAAGACTAATAAGAAAAGAAGAAAAAACATTATCAGACATACTGTGGAAATTTGCTTGCTCTGTTAAACATCATTTGGGAAATATTAAAAAAATACAAATAAATTTAAATTTATAATCATGATTATAAATGTTTTTAAAAAATCTGCTCGTTAAACAGAATTTGGGGAAAAAAATAAACAGGGGGGCTAATAATTCTGACTTCAGCTGTATACACTGACAAAAGTCTTGTCGTTGATCCCACTTGTAAGAGCAACAAATAATAACTTGACTTCTAGATCATTTGGACAAGTGGCAGATTTTTGCAACTAAATATATGTTGATCTGCATTCCAATCATCTCAGATTCTCACAGAAATCAGTCAAGTTTAGTGTAGGAGAAATCATGGTTTGGCGTTACATTCAGTATGGGGGCGTGCGAGAGATCTGCAACATCAACAGCCTGAGGTATCAAGACATTTGTGCTGCCCAAACCACAGGAGAGGGACAATTCTCCAGCAGGATAGCGCTCCTTCTCATACTTCAGCCTCCACATCAAAGCTCCTGAAAGCAGAGATGGTCAAGGTGCTGCAGGATTGGCCAGCCCAGTCACCAGACATGAATATTATTGAGCATGTCTGGGGTAAGGAGAAGGAGGAGGCGTTGAAGATGAATCTAATGACTCTTGATGAACTCTTGGAGTCCTGCAAGAACGCTTTCTCTGCCATTCCAGATGACTTTATTAATCAGTGATTTGAGTCATGTCAGAGATGTATGGATGCAGTCCTCCAAGCTCAAGATGGAGTCAGACACAATATTCATTCTGTCTCCACTGCAGCAGGACTTTATATTCTATACTGGACATTATTTCTGTTTAGTCACAAGACTTTAGTCTAAGTAGAGACAGACCTTACTAATGAAATCATTTAAAATCAAGGCATGATCAGATTTCATTGTGCTCAAATAAGCAAAATCTAGAGCAGTGGTTCTCAACTGGTTTGGCCATGGGACCCACATTTTTACATGGTCATCAACCCACAACTAACTATAATATAATTTTAGTAATTATAATTAATTTGTATTTATTTGTTAACATAAAGTAGTGACAGATAAATCATAAGAAAATCACCAAGACTTACAAATAAACACTGGTCTATTATTGTCATTTAACAAAACGTCTCAAATTATAGAAATATTACAAAGTAAAAATGACAAATGTTTGGTTTCTAAAAGTGCTCTTGTGAGCACACATTACTACATATAACACTGAGGCTTTAAGTCTTTTTTGTCGTCAATATATGTAAATCCATATTTACATATTCGGGTTCGTTTTTGCGCTTCGACATATTTGTTGCTACAATTAAATGAAATTTCACATGTCAAACGGTACAGTTGTAGCTCGGGCATTTCAAAATAAAAGTCTTGTATAAGCAAAATAAGGGAAAAACTAAACATTTGTTGTTTTTTTTGAACACATACTCTGCGACCCACTGAAAATGTTCCCGCGACCCACTTTTGGGTCACTGACCACTTTTGGGTCAGTTGAGAAACACTGATCTAGAGGCCTTTGCCTTTCATATAAGACACTTCTGATACCAAATGATAAAATAGAAGTCAAGGTATTATTATTTGTTGTTCCTAAAACTTGGATAGGCCACAAGACTTTTGTCAAGTAGTGTACAAGTAAAAACAAAATTAGTTTATTATTATGATAAATGCTGTTTAACACAGAGATTTTTTATGCATTTTAAAAATAGAATTGTCTTTGCCACTATGACAGAATTTACTGGTTATGTTGCAACCAGTATTCAGCTTAAAGTGACATTTAAAGACTTAACTAGGTTAATTAGGTTAACTAGGCAGGTTGTGTTAATTAGACAAGTCTTTGTGACAACAGTAGTTTGTTCTGTAGAAAATCAATATATATATATATATATATATATATATATATATATATATATATATATATATTCCTAATGGGTCTAATAATATTAACCTTAGCAGTTTTTACTTGTTTTTGATATTTAGCTTTTTATTCCAGCTAAACTAAAAGAAATAAGACTTTCTCCAGGAGAAAAATACAATAGGAAAAATTAATAATTACAACTTTAATAGTTAAAATTTAATAAAACTGTACTTTAAAAAAAAAATTCTTCCACTGTCTTTTTTCCAAATAATGAACTGATTGCTGCAATACTGAAGAACATAATTTTGTGTACTGATTAAGTTTGTGATGTCCTCAAAGTCATCACAAGGTTGTTTAATTAATGATTTAAGCCTTTATTTTCAGTAAAATATGTTTATTTTCTTTCTTCAGTTCCATTGCCTTACACCATCTGATTCGAAAGGAGGGCAACCCATTCTCCACACAAATACGTGCTTTTGATATGAAAGTCCAAAGAGGAGATCAACTCACTGATGAAGAAAGAAAACTGTATGTATGACTTAATAACTTTAAATTAATGCTGCCAAACGATTAATCATGATTAAATGCATCCAATATAAAAGTTTATATTTACATAATATATACAAGTGTACTGTGTTTATTTATGTGTATACTGTACGTATAAACACACAAACATACTGTACATAAAATACAAAATAAATTAATTTGAGTATATATTAATATAGAGTTTCTATTATATATAAATATTGTTTATATTTTTGTGTATAAATATACATGAATAACTATAATGTATAAAATATTAGTTTGTATATAAATATAACCATATATTTTATACAATATAGTCATGCATATATTTACACACAAAATATAGACAGTACGCACAAATATATTTTGTTTTGGATGTGATTAATCACAATTAGCACTACTTCAAATCTATTTTCTGTGCTGTGTTATTATTACTTCATTGTTGTAAATTTATGGACACATTTTAATTGATATGAAAACCTAATTTTTACAGCTTCAGAGAAATCCTCAAAAAGGCTCGAAAGCATGAATTATTGCACCATGACGTAATCTTATGCACGTGCACCGCAGCTTCACATCCAGCACTGGCGGAAACCCTTGACTTTAAGCAGATCATCATTGATGAATGTGCCATGGCCACTGAACCTGAAGCCTTTATTCCTCTCGTGGCTCATAAACCTGAGCAGGTATGATTGCAAACCACTGTTGTATTTAGCCAAACTCTAAATACTGGATATTAGCAGCACATTAAAGGCTACTGGAGACTTTTTTGCAGTTTGCAATGAACAAAGAATGCATTTTTATGTTCTTATTAAACTAATTCATGTTTTAGATTGTCCTTCTTGGCGATCACAAACAGCTTCAACCAGTGGTCCACTGCGAGGTGGCGGAGCGATTAGGAATGAGCAGATCTCTTTTTGAACGTTACATGGAGAACGCACTCATGCTTGACACCCAGTACAGAATGGTAATATATTATTAGAACATATAGCTTCAATACTGTTTTTTATCTACACACATTTACTGTTCTTTGCTTTAGAAGTCTATATCAATTCATAATTTATTATCCAGGGATATCAAGCAGTGATATAATTACCTGCACAATATAAGTTCACCTAATTTAAATTGAACATTCTCTCTATTATATACCTTCTCTACCAGCAAGAAGACATTTGTGCATTTCCATCTAATGAGTTCTATGGGGGGAGATTACAAACTGGAATACCAGCCAAATCAAAACTATTCCTTACTCAAACAAAGCAAACCTGCATCGTTTTTGGTCATGTTGAAGGAAAGGAGAAAAGTCTGGTGGTTCGAACTGAACAAGGCAATGAAAACTCAAAGGCAAATATGGAAGAGGCAGAGGAAGTGGTAAGTGCAGATGGTATTTAATATGGTATAGTTATTAAATTATATATAATAATTTTATATATATATATATATATATATATATATATATATATATATATATATATATATATATATATATATATAGAATAATATAGCTTATTAAGCTCCACAAATTACAAATTTTGTAGCTTGCTGTAAACATTATACACTTAAATTAAATGAACTCCTAGTACACTACATTATACTTTTCAATGAACAAATGGTTTCATAAACATTCACAAAGGACGTGAGGTCTGATGATCACGGGTGGTTCCTACATTAGCCTCTCTACGTTTCGTTTTCAGTATTTTCACAACGGGCTAACGTTAATAGCTAATTGGCGCCATCTTGCGATTCCAAACGGTCACTATGAAAAATGACTAAATGATCTGAAAGGAAAACAGCCATTTTAACCTGACACCTCAACCGGTGGTTTAATAATTTGAACACATGCTTTAAAATTGGTTTATTTTTAAGAATAAACTTACCAGATAACTGTTACAGAGAGGACATTTATATTCTTCCTGATTCTCCTCAGTCGATGACCTTGGGCCGCAAATAATGGCGGTTGTTTCCAAGGAGACACACAACAACTCGTCAAAGGCGCGCTTTCGATCGAAGGTTTCCTATCGTAAGATCAACATTTTAAACACGTTTAAGGCTGTATAAAGCAACATTACATTTTTAAAAAGTATTTTCATTCCAAAAAAGCAAAACATTTCGGACATCTCTGTAAAATCATTGCTGAATTATAGATTGGCGTCACTTGACCACACTTTAAATTGAAAATAGTGAAGGTGATACAAATTTACATTATTTGGTAAATGTTTCCCAATTCAGTAATCAAACAGAATATGTATGTGGTATAACAGGCTATATTAGCTATAGAAGGTCAGATAGCATTTATTATAATAAATAACAAACATATACAATAGGAAATGGACAGATAGTATTTTAAGTTCAAAGAATTTGTATATAAATATATATAAATATTAGAGAGGCTGACACAGTGGCTCAGTGGTTAGCACTGTTGCCTCACAGCAAGAAAGTCACTGGGTCGAGTCCTGGCTGGGCCAGTTGTCATTTCTGTGTGGAGTTTGCATGTTCTCCCCGTGTTGGCGTGGGTTTCCTCCGGGTGCTCCGGTTTCCCTCACAGTCCACATGCGCTATAGGGGAATTGATTAACTAAATTGGGCGTACAGCATCCCTGCTGAAAAAATCCAGCTTAAACCAGCCTAGGCTGGTTGGCTGGTTTTAGCTGGTTGACCAGGCTGGTTTTAGAGGGGTTTTGGCCATTTCCAGGCTGGTTTCCAGCCTGGTCTTAGCTGGTCAGGCTGGATAATGAGCAGCCAAATCCAGCTAAAACCAGCTTGACCAGCCTGGTTTAAGCTGGATATAGGGGGTTTTGGCTGGACTCCCAGTTTGGCTAGGCTGGTCAAGCTGGTTTTAGCTGGTCATCTCCCAGCCTGACCAGCTAAGACCAGGCTCAAAATGGCTGGAAACCAGCCTGGAAGTGGCCAAAACCCCTCTAAAACCAGCCTGGTCGACCAGCCAACCAGCCTAGGCTGGTTTAAGCTGAATTTTTCAGCAGGGATGTGTGTGTGTGTATATGTGTGTATGGGTGTTTCCCAGTGCTGGGTTGCAGCTGGAAGGGCATCCGCTGTGTAAAACTGGATAAGTTGGTGGTTCAACCCCTGATGAATAAAGGGACTAAGCTAAAGGAAAATGAATGAATATTAGAGAATAACTGTAAAAGGTAAATGTTAGGGTGCTTTCACACCTACACTTTTGTTTTGGAACGTGTCTCATTTGCCCAGTTAGCGCGGTTCGATTAGCATATGTGAACAGGGCAATCGCGCTCTGTTCCGCGCCAAAGTAATGGCTCCGAGATCGCTTGAATGAGGTGGTCTCGGCTGGATTGAAACGAACCCTGGAGCGGTTCGATTGCAGTGAGAAAGCGATCCGATCCGAGCGCGGTTATATCACAGTGTTTTATGGATATGTAATAGGCTTACGGCTATATGAAGAGAGAATTATGAGTAGGGCGGGAAGTTTCGCGAGTCTCCGGATGCCCGCAAATGAGTGATGATCTCCTGGTAGTCTCACGTCTCCCTCCCGGTCCTCAAATAGGCATCGTTGCGCACACTTATCACCTCTCCTCACTGCATCTCTCCTCAGACACGTCACGCGCGCACCCTGTTAATCACCACCAAACCACCACCTCTCCTGACAGCTGAGCGGGACACTGCAAAATAAACCCTGACACTCTGACCAAGGAGAGTTTACTCGCACGTGACTTGTTTTAGCTCTTTTGGTCCGATTAGAAACTTTGCCGTGTGAAAGCGAACCGCTCCAAGAGCAAAGAGCAACAATGTAACATTTGTAATCTCTGTTTCAGAACAACTGAATCAATTCACAGGTGTGAAAGCACACTTAGTATTGGATTTTTTTAAATAGTTTGTTGTAGTAGCCTTCTGATAATCATTTCTTTTCCCAACAGGTGCGGGTCGCCATTCTTTTGACTGAGGCTGGGATCAAGACAAAGGACATTGCCATTCTCACACCATATAATGCTCAAGTGGCCAAAATTAGTGAGTCTCTGCATAATAACCATATACGAGACATCACCGTCAACACCATCATGAGGAGTCAAGGTAATAATCCTTCAAAAATCGAATTTTACATCAATATGTTCGCTTTGAACATTATTAAACATGACACAGCTAACAGTTTTAATGTTCCTGGATTTATTAGCCATGGGTTTGAGTAAACTGTTAATATTTGTTTTATTCTTAAAAGGTCTGAAAACATTTCTACCAAATGTCAATATCGTCATTTAGTGCATATTGTTTCCCAGAAAATTACATACAGATGCATGGTTTCCGCTACATTCATTCTTCCGTGGAGGGGCGCCACACCAAAATTCATTTCGCCACGGCTACATTACAGCTTCTTATTCAAATTTTTTTTCGTTTTTTAAATAGTGGGTTAAAATCGCACCGAAAACGTATGAAAAGGTAAGTGAATAATAACAGCGCAAACTTTTCTGTGACTATAGCAGTGCTGTGCGTTCTGTTTAACCCTTTAAGGTGACGTGCTGACTGACTGACTGACTGACAGGTGTGTGATGTGTGTGGTCAGCAAACACGGCGTAGCTTTCAGTTACGATGAACAGTTTCCATAATTATACTTTATTTATAGATAAAGGTCTGTGGCTCTGAATATAATGACTTTATCTTGCTGGAGTTTATAGCCGTTTCACTTTACTTCAGGACGCATTAATGCCGCGGTCCGCTCCGCAAGTCTATCGGAGACATTCATAAATATCCCTAGCAAATCTAATACATGTTGGAGACATACTCGCTACATAAACGCACTAAATCACACTTCAGCCGCGTTTATTTGAGGGAGTGCAAGAAAATCTGCACTTGAGCAGCGTATATTTGAGGGCGCGCAAGAAGTTTTGTGCACAAGCAGAGGAAATCGGCGCTCAAGCGGAGATTGACATGCTCGTAGGCTATTACATGAATGCGATCTTGACGTAATACTGCGCCCATGACATTTGTCAATGAAATAACGCCACATGTACTGGTAGATCTGTGTAAAATGGCCTACAGAGTCTGCCTCCAGAGCTGGAAAAAAATCCTAGAGGAAACACTGAGATGTCACTACTTCAATTTGTTCACTTTGGCGCCGTTCATACTGCGACGGTGGCGGTAGTTGGTGCGCCTGCAGCTTTTGACTGCTGGGTGGCGCTTTAACCTCATATTTTCAGCTTTGCCTTTTCACAATACTAGATACAGTTGACGGTTCTGTATGTGCACCTTATGTGATGTGATGTGTTCAATTAAAATATCATTTTGTTTGACTTTTCTTAGTTATAAGCATGCTTTTACACTATACTGTATGTTTTAGAAAAGATACAATACATGGTATGAAGTATAGCACTTGGCTGCAAAAAGCAAATAATTTGTCGATGTAATTTGCAGAGGATCCCTAAAACTGCGTGCGCGAATATCAAACCTTAAGCCAAGTTTACTGAGCTAGGAGGTGATTGGTTTTCTAAAGTATTTCCCAGTTTACGCTCGAGGGCTCGTGCAGCTTCACGAAGCCGCTGAGGAACAGACTTCGCCATGTTTATGCTGCCAAATGTCCCAAATAGTCCTCGCTGCAGCTGTGACGACATAACCTAAAACCCGCCTTGCAGCAACGGTGGCCGTCTGTGGGCGTGGCTAGGCCAGAATGCATTTTCAATTACAAATCGGCTTTCATTCGTCGCGATGTGTTAAATGAAAATGCATTGTTTTTTTTATTTTCATTTTCATTCTGCAGCAAACATTGCACATATGTCTTGGAAAATGCTAACTGAAATACTGAAATACACTGCCATTTACATATTGCATTATCGTTTTGCGTATTACATTTCAAAATTAATTTTGCTACACACATCCCATGCTGTTATGCTGAAAATGTAATCCTGCGTTTCCTAGACGCGAGTGTAAATGCATTTAGGACAACATTTAAATGATCATTTTGCAACAGTTTCTGCTTGTACTTTATTCACATCAAATTCAGTTTGCGTATAGCATTTTCAATTTAATTTAGCTACTTATAAAGCTTTAAAATGTGGATACAATTTACATATTAAAACAGTGTTTGAAATGAGAAATGCAAACAATGTAATTTAATTTACATTTTCATTCTGCACCAAACATTGCTCATATGTCTTGGAAAATGCAAATTCAAATACAGAAATACATTGCCATTTAACATATTGCATTGCCATTTTGCATATTACATTTTGAATTGAATTATGCTACTCGTATGCTTCAATATAAATTATTTCAGTAGCAGTCTATTAATTCTGATCTTTTGTTTGTTTGGCTGCAGGTAGTGAATGGAGGTACGTCATCATGTCAACAGTGCGCTCTTGTCCCAAGTCTGAAATAGAGACACAACCACCCAAATCCTGGATTATGAAGCGGCTTGGATTCATCACCGACCCTCATCAAGTAAACGTTGGCATTACCAGAGCACAAGAAGGGCTGTGCATCATCGGTGAGTCAATATTATGTGTATCTGCATGATTGTCTGAATAACGTAAATAATATTAAAAATCAGCGGTGTAAAGTAACTAATTACAAATACTCAAGTTACTATAATTAAGTACTTTTTTTTCAGAAATTGTAATTTACTAAGTACTTTTAAAAATGTGTGCTTTCACTTTCCCTTGAGTACATGTTTAGTGCAGTATCGGTTCTTTTACTCCACTACTTTCCTTCAACCTGCAGTCACTACTGTATTTATTCTTGTCTATGAGGTTTAGAAAAATCAGTCCTGTGATTCCCATCCAATCAAATCATGTACTGCCCCCACCCAGATTACTATTAGTAGTTGCTAAGATGTTGTAGGTGGTTACTATGTAGTTGCGAGGGTGTTCTGAGTGGTTGCTATGTCATTGTTGGGTGTTGTTATGTGGTTGTTAGCATTATCTAGATGTTTGCAAGACTGTAGCTGCGTCCCAAATGGCACACTATACACTATGCACTCATGCACTATGTACTTATGCACTTACACACTCAACAGGATAGTATATGTATGTAATGGCGTCCCAAATGGCACACTAATGTTTTTTTACTGAGCGGAAATTCAAACCGTTTCCCTGATGACGTTTGACGGTTGCCAAATTAGTGAAATAAACGACCGAATTATCAGATAATACCTGCCGTGAGTATAACCTCATTCATCATCGGGAGGCGCTATAATCACTCTTGTAGGAGAATTTTGCTTTCACCATCCAAAATAAATAAAGTTATCCAACATGTGCGTCCGATAGCTCCGCCCCTTCCGCTACGTAAGCAAACCTGCGGTCGTTGAGTGTGTGAAGTGTCCATCATTACACACTTCATTTTAGCGGCTGAATGAGTGCATCATCCGGGTAATTAAAGTGCACTTATTATTTTTAGAGTTTTCAGTTTGAACACACTACTTACACTATTTATACTACAAAATGGCGTAGAATAGTGCATAAGTATGCGATTTGGGACGCAGCTTGTTTTTACCCATTGCTAGGCGATTGCTAAGCTGTTGTTAAGGTGTTGTGAGTGTTTTCTGAGTAGTTGCTAGGGCATTCTGATTGGTTAATTTAAAGTGTTTTTTTTAACCTCATTTTTAATTCGCTTGGGATAAAAGCATCGGTTAAATTAATAAATGTAAACATTGCTAGCATAATTTTAGCATGGTTTGCATGTCACTAGCATATTGCTAAGAGGATTCAAGTTACTAGCATTTTAGCATGCTTATCATGTTGCTAGCATGATTATAATGTTATTGGCATGATATTGGCATGTCACTAGCACTATTAGCATGTGCTAACCCTTAGCTAATCACAGTTAGCATGTGTGGCTATGCACTGTTAGCATGTTGGAAGTCTTGTTTGAAAAAAGAGCAAAATCCAGGGTGTCTAGCATGTTCTAGATATAAAGCTTGTTACACGGTAACTAGGGTAGTCTGTAATGCTGCTAGGGACATAATTAGCAATAGTTTTATATTTGATGCCTGTGCTACAGTATCATAATTCAGCTTTTTGTTTTGTTTTGACAGGAAATGAGAACTTGCTGCGCTGTAGTTCCTTATGGAGGAAACTTCTGAATCATTATCAGGAGAAAGGATGTGTGGTGAATCCTGCCCGGCTCATCCAAGTCCGACAACCCCCAAGAAGAACTGCTAGAAGATGATGTGCATGATGAATACGCACTCATATTAAGTCATTATTATTATAGCACAATTTTCAAAGCAAGCATTTGCACCTATCAGGTATGTTCATAAGCTATTAGGTTATGAATATCATGAAATGACCACTGATGGCACTTTATATATTAATCTTCATTACATTCTGTTGATTGTTGTACCTTTTTTAAATGAGCTTATATTTATCTCTCTGTTTTATGTCTTAATCTTTATAATATTTCAAGTTTGCACAGCTTAAAGGCAAAAAAGACATTCCATTTGTTTAAAAAAATATTAATAATTCTGTATATAAAAGATAAACGTGAGGATAAAGTGAGATTTCTCCACATGTTACTATGAAATGAGTTTTACTGTGACAGCACTACTGTATTATGGCTGTAATCTATTCCTGCAATGTTAATATTTGACCACCCAGTGGTGCTGTACTTGCTTTTAAAGCACAGCCTGAAGTGTTAAGTAGCTTTAAATATGACCTGTATTTGGATTCTGTGAATGTAGAGATGTTGTTGAATAATTTGTACCAAATTTTTTTACCATGCATTTCTTCTCTGTGCTGTATACAGTTGAAGTCAGAATTATTCACCCCCCTTTGAATTTATTTTTCTTTTTAAAATATTTCCCAAATGATGTTTGACAGAGCAAGGAAATTTTCACAGTATGTCTGATAATATTTTTTCTTCAGGAGAAAGTCTTATTTGTTTCATTTCAGCTAAAATAAAAGCAATTTTTAATTTTTTAAAAGCCATTTAAAAGTCAGAATTATTAGCCCCTTTGAGCTATATTTTTTCCTGATAGTCTACAGAACAAACCATCGTTATACAATAACTTGTCTAATTACTCTAACCTTGTCTAAGTTACCCTAATTACCCTAGTTAAGCCTTTAAAAGTCACTTTAAGCTGTATAGAAGTGTCTTGAAGAATATCTAATCAAATATTATTTGCTGTCATCATGGCATGAAATAAATCAGTTATTAGAGATGAGTTATTAAAGCTACTATGATTAGAAATGTGGTAAAAAAAAAAAGCTTCTCTCCGTTAAACATAGAAAGGGGGCTAATAATTCTGACTTCAACTGTATGTGTATTTTCTGTATTTATTTGGAAAGCATAAGGATGTTTGTTAAACTCTTTAAGGACGTCTCTCTGTCTTAAAATGTTTTTAGATAATTTGCACAAAAACATATTGAATAAATTTGGTAACTTAAGTCTCAAATAAAACTGTGAAGAAGATTCAGTCTTTATCATTGTGTTTCTTATCTTTTAGCTGAATACTATTATTGCTGAATACTTGTAAAAATATTATGTACAGTCAAGAACAAGAAATTAGTTATTAGAAATTAGTCGTTAAACCTACTAGTTGTTAAATGCACTGAACATTCTGAACAATCTTAGAAACAAGATGATGAGAAAAGGATAATCGTTGATCCATGATGAGACGGATTGGAAAGCAGAAATCCGAATCCTTCAAGTAATTTGAGCACATGCTGAGTTTCAGAGTCAATACACACACACACACACACACACACACACACAGGAGAAAGTGACTGTGTTTACATGGACATCTGTAGTCGAATTATTTGCCAAATTATCAAATGCTGGACTTTAACTGCAGTTTGGCTCTTTCATTCAGGGAATTCAGTCATGTCCCTCTCGACACACGAGATATTTGATTTGAGGAATTGATGGAAGTCTGTATTTTTCATGCAGTGTTTGATACCGCACGGCGAATGAGAGAAAAAAATCTCGGCAGGTAAGCCGCATGCGTTATTCTGGTCACAAAATGCGGTGAAAATCCTCCACGACAGTAATAGTTTGGTTGTGGTGCTAACATGTTTACACTCAGTGTAATCATTAGTTCAATACGAACAAACTGAATAAACAAAGAGCACTGGTCGCTCACTTACCAAATCTGTAGAGACAGGACAATCACCAGCAACTAGAGCCGCGTCTTTATTAAGAGGAGACGAGCAGCAAATCCAGATCTCACCATTTGCAGATGAGAAAAGCTCTCGGGTAAACAATTTTCCGTAGACACGTATTGTTCTCGAGCGTCGCATGCACTGTAATCCACACGTGACTCCAGCTGAGCTCTCACAGAGAGAAAATGAAAACAAAACCTTCCCTGCAGCAAATTATAAACGCAACACTGCATGCTAGTTTTGCCAACACAACGTGGCGTCTCTGTCGTCTAAACACTGTGACAGTAATGAATATTAATGAAGTTGCACAATAGAGCGCGCTGATTGGTTTGAACCAAGCCTTACTCATGCATTAATGCAACACACTGTAAGACGTAATAAGACACACTCTGGCACAGACGCCCAGTCTGCACGCTGGAATACACGCTATTATGTCATGACCGTGACGCAGCTTCAAAAATTAATTTCAAACCGAAAGTACGAATTTGCTTGAAATAACGCAAAAACAACCAATTTTCACTGTTTAGTGAAATATAGGTGTCCTATTAGTGTTTTTAGCAGTGTGGGACACATATACGACAGTCAACAGCTTAAAACATGTGTGTTGGTGTTTCGTGACCCTTTTAAATGAATGCTCTATTATTAAAGTGTCCAGCTAGTTTTACCTCGTCCAGCAAGATACTGTAAACGGTACTGTATATATTAAATCAGTATTTTTGCTGTACAGTATGTTCAACAGCAATTATTAACAATGTAAACGCTATTAGAGTTTAATTTTGTGTCTCGATTTATATCACGAGCCTTTACTTTCCCACTGCATGAGCTAGATTTCAGTTCCGTGCCTCAGATTCATACGCATTGATTAAAGATGTTTCTCAGATGAATGCTGTTCTCTTTTTAAAGTGTCCAGCTAGTTTTGGGGCCTCTATGTTTCGCAGAGTGTGTTGGTAAGGGGAGACCGACGCCAGGCTGCTCTGGAAGAGACTCTGAAGAGCGCTGTGGTTTTGCGGGAGTGTGACGAGACATGGCAGGAGAGAGAGAGAGAGAGAGAGAAACCACTGATGAGAGAGCATACATGAAGAAAAGACACTAGTTGAGAAGCTCTATTGTGTCAAATATTCACATCCATTCTTCTGAGATCCTTTCTTGACGTTGCATTTATTTGTCTTACTTTATCTACGGGTCGAAATAAACGCACATACAGCATTTCATATATTGTACAGAGCTGTAAGGTCATCGTAAAATCATACGCTGGATGCTTATATTAATTCTGACATTATATTCCTTAATTCACTCATTTTTCTTCAGCTTAGTCCCCTATTTATTAGGGGTCGCCACAGCGGAATGAACCGGCAACTATTCTGGTGTTTGTAAGTGTGTATGCATCTGTGTTCGTGTGTCTGTGTGAAAGGGCATGTCTCTCGGTGTGTGTGTGTGTGTGTGTGCACGCGCATGCATGCTTGAGAGGGTGTGTGTGTGTGTGTGGTTTGAATTTATTTTGTGTTTGTAAGTGTGTATGCATCTGTAATGTGTGTGTTTGTGTGAAATAACATGTGTGTGTGTGTGCATGCATGTTTAAGAGGGTGTTTCTGTGTGTGTAAGAGTCTGTGTGTGTGTAGTTTGAGTGTATTTTGTGTTTGTAAGTGTGTATGCATCCGTGTTGTGTGTGTGTGTGTGTGTGTGTGCGTGTGCGCATCTTTAAGAGGGTGTTTTATGTGTGTAAGAATCTGTTTGTGTGTATTTTGAGTGTATTTTGTGTTTGTAAGTGTGTATGTGTGTGTGGGTGTGTGTCTGTGTGTCTGTCAGTATCAGTGCATGCATGTGTTGTGAGTCTGTGTGTGACAGATGTATGCAGCTGTGTGTTGTGTTTGCAGTTGTGTGTGCATGAATGCATATGCGTCTTTGTGTGTGTGTGTGTGTGTGTGTGTGTGTGTGTGTGTGCGTGTGTATGTTTGTGTGTCTGTGTGTCTTAATGTCGGTGTGTGTGTGTGTGGCTGTGTCGCTTTTTGACCCCCTTGTGTGTGTGCATGTATGTGTGTGTCTGTGTGTGTGTATGCATGTGTCTTTATGTCTATGTGTGTGTGTCTTTATGTCTGTGTGTGTGCGCACCTTTATGTCTGACTGTGTGTGTACGTGGCTGCATGTGTGTGTATGTGTCTTTATGTCTGTCTGTCTGTGTGTGCGTGTGTGTGTGTGTGTGTGTGTGAGCGCCTCATTAGCCTGTGAGCGGCTGGAGTTGCAGCAGTTCGTCTCCTCTCACCGCACTCTTTGATGGGGTTCAATCAGCGCCACATGAGACGCTCAGAGATGAAGTGGAGAATGGAAGGAAAAGATGTGGGATGAAAAGTAGGAGCGAAATACAGAAGAGTGGGCATATGATGATGAAATTCAGGACATCGGGGCCTCACTGCTTTTATGCCGCATTTACTCATAATTATAGTTAATACACAGCTTACGTTTCCTTTGACAGATGTTTTCTAAAAGCGATTTCAGCAATGCAAAAATATTACAGGATTGCATTTGTTAACATTAGTCAATTAACATGTCCTTCAGCTTAGTCCCTTTACTCATTAGGTGTCACCGCAGTGGAATGAACCGCCAACTATTCCAGCATATGTTTTACACAGCGGATGCCCTTCCAGCTGCAGCCCAGTACTGGGAAACACCCATGCACTCTCATTCACACACACACTCATACACTACAACTACACTACAATTCCCCTATAGCTAAACTTTGGGGGAAACCGGAGCACCCGGAGGAAACCCACGCCAACATGGGGAGAACATGCAAACTCCACACAGAAATGCCAGCCAGCAACCTTCTCGCTGTGAGACGACGTTCAATAACCGTATTCTTAATTATACACTATGTGAATGTAATAATGTATGTGTTAAAGTAATTCAGCACACACATTATTACATTTACATAATGTATAATTAAAGATACAATTCTTTTATAGACCTGAGCTAACAAATTAACGATAGTTGTATTTTTTATTAACTGACATTAAAAACAATATTAAATAATAGAACAAATATATTAAATGTATAATATTATGTAGGTTAGAATATGCTGAATTTGCGTTTTTCAACTGTTTGGCGCCATCTATTGACTGAACAATGCACAGGTTAGTGTATACTCCATCAGCTGTTTTCGTTTCTGTCAGCTTTGTGTTTCTGATGGCGCCATTTTGTGTCTGAATAATGCACAGGTTAGTGTATACTCCATCAGCTGTTTTAGTTTCTGTCAGCTTTGTGTTTCTAATGGCGCCATCTTGTGTCTGAAAAATGCACAGGTTGGTGTATACTCCATTAGCTGTTTTCGTTTCTGTCAGCTTTGTGTTTTTGACTGTCTCCATTTTGTGTCAGAATAATGCACAGGTTAGTGTATACTCCACCAGCTGTTTTAGTTTCTGTCAGGTTTGTGTTTTTGACTGTCTCCATTTTGTGTCTGAATAATGTGCAGGTTAGTGTATACTTCATCAGCTGTTTTTGTTTCTGTCAGGTTTGTGTTTCTGTTTGGCACCATCTAGTGGCAATAATGTGCAGGTTAGTGTATACTCCATCAGCTGTTTTAGTTTCTGTCAGGTTTGTGTTTTTGACTGTCTCCATTTTGTGTCTGAATAATGTGCAGGTTAGTGTATACTCCATCAGCTGTTTTCGCTTCTGTCAGGTTTGTGTTTCTGTTTGGCACCATCTAGTGGCAATAATGTGCAGGTTAATGTATACTCCACCAGCTGTTTTATTTTCTGTCAGCTTTGTGTTTCTGTTTGGTGCCATCTAGTGTCTGAATAATGCGCAGGTTAGTGTATACTCCATCAGCTGTTTTAGTTTCTGTCAGCTTTGTGTTTCTGTTTGGTGCAATCTTGTGTCTGTATAATGCACAGATTAGTGTATACTCCATCAGCTGTGTTTGTTTCTTTCAGCTTTGTGTTTTTGACTGTATGGTGCCATATAGTGTCTGAATAATGCGCAGGTTAGTGTATACTCCATTAGCTGTTTTTGTTTGTCAGGTTTGTGTTTCTGTTTGGCGCCATCTAGTGTCTGAATAATGCACAGGTTAGTGTATACTCCACCAGCTGTTTTCATTTTTGTCAGCTTTGTGTTTTTGACTCTTTGGCACCATCTAGTGACTCAATAATGCAAAGGTTAGTGTATACTCCATCAGCTGTTTTAGTTTCTGTGAGCTTTGTGTTTCTGTTTGGTGCAATCTTATGTCTCAATAATGCGCAGGTTAGTGTATACTCCATCAGCTGTGTTAGTTTCTGTCAGGTTTGTGTTTCTGTTTGGTGCCATCTTGTGTCTGAATAATGTGCAGGTCAGTGTATACTCCATCAGCTGTTTTAGTTTCTGTCAGCTTTGTGTTTCTGTTTGGTGCCATATAGTGTCTGAATAATGTGCAGATTAGTGTATACTCCATCAGCTGGGTTTGTTTCTTTCAGCTTTGTGTTTTTGACTGTTTGGTGCCATATAGTGTCTGAATAATGCGCAGGTTAGTGTATACTCCATCAGCTGTTTTTGTTTGTCAGGTTTGTGTTTCTGTTTGGCGCCATCTAGTGTCTGAATAATGCGCAGGTTATTGTATACTCCACCAGCTGTTTTCATTTTTGTCAGCTTTGTGTTTTTGACTCTTTGGCACCATCTAGTGACTCAATAATGCAAAGGTTAGTGTATACTCCATCAGCTGTTTTAGTTTCTGTCAGCTTTGCGTTTCTGTTTGGTGCCATCTAGTGTGTGAATAATGCACAGGTTAGTGTATACTCCATCAGCTGTGTTTGTTTCTGTCAGCTTTGCATTTAATTAAATTATTTATTAACTATTCTATCTCAGAACAATGTTTCATGTGTATTTTTTATGTTTTGTGGCAAGTAGCCATGTAAAATCCCAATAAATTACATCTAGCATTGTTGTTTTCATAGAATAAACACTTCAATCTTACATAACAGTGCTCAGCTTTGCACTAGGCCTGCTAATAAACCTATCAGTCTTTATTCTGTGATAACAACCTCTAAGATGTACTTTATCCCTAAAAAAAACACTCGTGTTTCCTTCCGTAGGCGAGCTACTTGCTCACAGCAGGCCTAAACAGTGTTCTAGCAGTGACCTATAATTATTATTTGCTAGATTTTTTCAAGCTAACTGCTCTTTAGTAAGTTTGTAAGTGCTTCCTAAACAATCAGCCGTAATATGGGACTAATTTAGCAAGTTCTGCAGCGTCTGGATTGAATCAGCGCAGGGAGGCCCCTCGTTTTTCGGCTACGCTTTAAACTCTCGGTGGTGTTTGTGGAAGTGCGGCTGGCGGTCGACTGAGAGCCTGCGCTGGTTAATTGCCCTTTGTTGTGGAAAGAAATGGGCTGCATGGTTCACTGCGGTCACATCTGTACAAAGAGACACACATATGTACGCATGAAGCAGACACGAGCGCATGCATATGACACAGGACGGCTACAGTCATAAATTGTCTATAATGAAGCCACGCAGTCAGGTGAATTTATTGAATATGAGAGCAACAGAGAGATTGCAGATGCAAAGGCGTGACTGTGTGTTTAAACAGGATGATGTGTTTCCTTTGTGCGAGGGGATTTTACAAGCATATAATTATCACATTTACAAAACAGAGCTTCCGAATAATAATACATGTGTGGCCTGCGAGGGAAGCTAGTATTTTTCTAATTATTGCAAAATGATCATGCAGACAATTTTATGAGCTCATTCTAATATACTTTATAAAATGGTTAAGTATTGTAGATGACTTTTTGATGTGTTTTTGGTTTTAAATTTAGTGTTTAAACTGTATTTGTTCCAAAGATATTATATATTAAACATTTTTGTTGATAATTAAACGTTTTTTTATCAATTATTGAACAATACAACGATGCTAAACATGTACTTTATAGGTATTGTATATAAAAGATTACTTTTTATGTGTTTTTGCCTTTAAATTTTGTGATTAAACTGTATTAGTTTCATAAATATTAAGATAATATATATGAAACATTTTTGTTCATTTTTGTTGAAAATTAAATATTTTTTAATCAATATTAAACAATACACTGATGCTAAACATGTTAGCTATTTATGTGTGGTAAATGTGTTTTGAGTGTTTTGTTTTCCGTGCACTGACCAACCTGTTTTTGGTGTCCATTCCTGCAAATGTCCCCATTTTTACTGTACATTCCAGCTCCACAAAGCTAAATAACAAGTGGTGTTTGATTTGACCAACAGAGGGTGCTAGTTATATTCGTTAGCATTAGCGCTCGTCTTTACCAAACAATCGCGATAGTTTACAGTCAAAAACTGGACCAGAATGACTCACTACAAGATTATTTCCGTCATATCATCATCAAGTAAGTCACATAAATCACACATCTAAACTTATAAATAGGCTATGTACAACATACACCACGATTCCATCCACGTCAGGTAAACAAAACAAAAAGCGCGCGCTTATGGCGTTTTTGGCGGCGTTTTGAGCCATTTAAAGTCACATAGCCTACTAGCATCAAAATCAATTTCTAGAATGACGTTTATTAATTATTAAGGATTGGTTTGTAATGCTCTGAGCCATGTTTATAGCCACGTAAAACCAACTATCCTATTAAAGGTAAGATAGCCACTTAACAAAACAAGACAAAAAGTACTGCTTGGTAACGTTAGGCTAGTTATATTGAGCAAAACCCATTATTTGTTATGCACATGTTTAATATGTGCCCCCCATAAACAATAACATACATAAAATGAGTGCTTTAAATACATATATTATAGACAGTTTGATTAAAATGTACATTGTTTGAGAATTATGTTCACGTATTTTCAGTGCCTGCTTGTGTAGTTGTATGCTATTATGTATGTTGGACATTACTTGCTGTTGCTGATTGTTTAAATGAACAACATATTTTAAAGTAGCATGTCTTTATAATGGTCAAAGTACTGAAATGAATATAATTTGGTCATTCATGCACAGAAATAAGTGTTACAAATGTGCGGCCATGGAAAAGCTATATTGGCTCTACAAATTTTTAAAAGAACCATTTTGTAATTATTTTTAAGAGAATCTTAATCTCCTTTGTATAAAGACTCTTTTGTGTAATGAAAATGTGCTTTATGGAGCATTAAATAATGCCAGGAACCTTTTTTTTCCAGAAGTGTGGTCAAGCTTTACTGCATATTATTGTAAGCCACATGGTTTTAATGCATCGTTTATTCCAAGAGACCTTCAGTGATGTTTGAATTATCTGTGTTTGCTACTGAACGTTTGTTGTGTTTTCATTTCTGAATGCTAAAATCTCCTTCTGGAAAGCCTGTAGCACAAATCCAGCTCAGAGTTTGGCTGAAGTGGTTCTTGTGGTATCGCTGCTTGTGTGTACTGTAGGTCACGTATTTCTTAAAGAAAGCACATATATTTAAAAACATTTCAAACTTGTTTTGTAAATGTTTATAGCATTTGAGAATTTCGGTAAGTGTTAAAAGCTTTTTGAAAATCTATATTTCATTGTTTAAACTTAATTTATGTTGGCCAATAAAAGTAATGTCTAGTGATAACTCTTAGCCTTTTTTGTGATTTTATTAGTGATTAGCCTACTATGCAATATATTATCAAGATTGTTGCTTGTTGTAAGAATTAATGATGTGAATAATTTAATGTTTGACCTCAATGCTTTGGATGCATTTTATAATTTTTTTTTTTTTTAACTCCAAGTAATGTTATGATTTGGCTGAAAAAAATACACAGCTTTTAAATACACAACTTTTGTATTTTGGGAAATTTGCTGTCCAGAGAAGTCACTTTGACTAAATTGATTTTGGGTGTACGTTGATAGAATTAATAGAATATATTATATCTATTTTTTTTTGATGCACAGACTTTTTATTTACTACATTTATTCTTTTTCCTTTTGAGTCTGAAGATATCACTTAATTTTCAACTTTTAAAAAGTTTAAGGTTAAATTTTGAATGTTGAATGTTTGCATACAACAAAGCAACTCTTTTTAAATGAGCTTTTCGTACAGGTTTGCGATTTTGAGTTTAAAATATTGCCTCATGTAAGTCAAATCTAATTTAATTTCCACAGTGAAATATGAATTGTTTTCCCCATTTTGCATTCATAAATATCGCACTGTAAAAATTATACGATCAATTAGTTATGGCAGCATATGCTTTAAGTTCATCGCAACTTAATAAATTAGGTAAATCATGTTCTAACTTAATTTGATAAGTTATGAAAGCTGTTTTAAATTAGTTTAACAAAACATAAGTTCAATAGACTCACAGGGTTAATTTAATTCAGCTAAAATCTAAGGCAACCAGTTTTTTTTTAACAGTGTAGGCATGCTCATTTTCCTATCTTATTTTCTTTAAATTCTTTAAAAGAAAAGTAAATATTATTCTTTAAAAGGTTCTTTCCAATCTGCAAAATGTGCTTTAAACATCAAAATGGGTCAATGACTAATTATGCCTAGTTTTATTCATAACTAGGCCCACATGGAGTCTGCGCACGCAGAATTCCACAGATTTTTCGCAGAATTCCGCAGATTTCTGCAGATTTTTAGCTCATTATTAATTCTGTTTATTTACTTGAGTAAATGTGTAAATCTGAATTTATTCAGTTTTTATTCAGTAATTTATTACTTTCTGTTTAATATATTAAGGTTTTAGTTATGATACTCCGATGTATACTCCCAAAATAATTCCGCAGAAATCCGCAGATTTTTACCAAAATTCTCAGCAGAAATAGCAAAAAACGTCCGCAGATTTCGTCTGGCCCTGTTCATAACCATTAATCAAATGTAAGACTTCCAGTGTTTTCCAATTTATTCAATTTATATTCAGGCTTTGCTTGTTTACGCTGGGAGTGTATTGCATTATGCTTGTTTAGGATGCAGAGAAGTGGCAAAATTTAACATTATACTCCTAAATCCTTTCGATGCATCCAGACATTTTACTCATAATTTCTTTATGTTGATTTAAATTAGTGCATCACCCCTTCTCTTAAATAAATTAAATCGAACGTATTGCAAATACAGTCATGCTTAACATTAAGGTTCCATTCATTTATTTATTTTTGGCTTAGTTCCTTTATTAATCAGGGGTCGCCACAGCAAAATGAACCGCCAACTTATCCAGCATGTTTTACACAGCGGATACCCTTCCAGCTGCAACCCATCACTGGGAAAACTAAGCTTTCATTATAATACAAAATAATCTGCCAACGGGGTGAGCAAATTAATATTATTTCAAAGCGATTATTTTGCTTGCCCCATTGTCAGATATTTTTTGCTTGTTTAAAGGAAAAACCTGCTTATTTTTGGCTCATTATTTTTGAAAATAAGACAAGTATTTTCTGCTTGTTTAGAAAATGCTTCTTGGTTTAAGAATTTTTAGGTATTTGGGCGAGAAACAAGGCAAAAACTCTAAGTAAGAGAAGCATTTATTGCAGTGCATGCATGTAGTGTGAAATATGCATGCACATTTGTAAGACAAGCATTTAGTGTGTGCATTGCTCATCCACAGGTGGATTGTAAGTTGTTTCTAGCAAGCCCAATAGGGGGCGTCGTCCACTAGCTGGCCCTTGTAAAAATATGTCCCAAAATGAGCAGGTTTTTCCTTAAAACAAGCTAAATAATATGGCAATGGGGTAAGCACAGTAATCTTGTTTTTTCTTTTAACATGAGACTATTTTACTTACCCCACGGGCAGATAACTTTGCTTGTTTTCAGGAAAAACGCACTTTAATTTGACAATATTTCTGAAGCCAAAACATTATTTGTTAGTAGTCTAGAAAATGCTTCTTGATTTAAGAATTTTTAGGTATTATTTGGGCTAGACACGAGGCAAAAACTAAGTAAGACAAGGTTTTTTTTTTGTGCAGTGCATGGATGCGATGATGGATATATGCATGCAAATTTATAAAAAGAGCATTTTTGCAGTGTGCGGTGCACATCTACAGGTGGATAGTGAGCAGATTAATCTTATTTCAAGGAGAAAACTGGATTATTTTGCTTACCCCATTGACATTTATTTTGCTTGTTTTAACTCTTTAATTTTGACTCATTATTTCTGAAAACAGCACATTATTTGTGCTCATCTAGAAAATTCTTCTTGGTTTAAGATGTTGTAGATTTTTGGATTTGAAGTGTTTTTTTTTCTGTGCATATGCAATGTGAAATGTTTGCATGCTAATTTGTAAGAAAAGCATCTTTAGTGTCAAAAATATGCATGTTCATTCTTAATCTGCCAGTGAGGTAAGAAAAATAATCTAGTTTTAGCTTTGAAGTAAGATTATTCTTCTTACCCTATATTGGCAGATTATTTAACTTCTTTTAAGAAGAAAATTCACTTAATTTTGACTCATTATTTCTGAAAACAAGAAAATATTTGTGCTTGTCTAGAAAATGCTTCTTGGTTTAAGCTTTTGTAGATATTTGCAGGGTTCAACACAAAGGACGTTTTCTACTGGCTTGACTGGACCAGCGGTTCAGATTATTACTTGCCCTGCCAAAATAAAAAAAAAAATAGCAATTTCTTAGCCACATATTTTAAATAATGTGTCAAAAATAATGTCTGTGAATCTAGAATTAAAATATGTTTAAAATGTTAAAATATTTAGCAGTAAAAAATAGCAGTATGGAAAATGTGCAGGTAATGTGTTGTAAAACAAAAGGTGTCTAACTTAAAAGTGACAGAAAACTATACAAAACATCATTTATTATTGTTGTGTTATACCCATGTGAATCTGTTTCCACAACGTCAGTAATAGACATTTCTTTTAGCCTCATATTTTTGATATTGTCGTCTCTTCACTGTCCCGAACATCTCTCATGCTGCTCATCGGGCAGTTCTCATTGTTGAACCCTGATTTGGGCTAGAAACAAAACAAAAGCTTTGATTTTATTTTATTTATTTTAATTTTTTTTTTGTGCTGTGCATGGATGTGGTGTGAAATGTGTAAGAAAAGCATAACGTGTCAAAAATAAACATGTTTTTCCTTAAAACAAGCAAACTAATCTGCCAGTGGGGAAAAAAATAATCTAGTTTAGCTTTGAAGTAGGATTGTTCTTCTTCCCCTATATTGGCAGATTTTTAGCTTGTTTTAAGAAGAAAACTCACCTAAAAAATGCTTCTTAATTTAAGATTTTGTAGATATTTGCAGGGTTCAACGCTGAGGACATTTTCTACTGGCTGGACTGGACCAGCGGTTTAGATTTTTACTTGCCCTGCCAAAATTTTCACTGGTGGCACCAAAATAAATACATAAATAAATTTAAAAAATAGCAATTTCTTAGCCACATATTTTAAATAATGTGTCAAAAATAATGTCTGGTAATCTAAAATTTAAATATGTTTAAA